AAAGCCCAGAAGAGGACGTAGCAGGTGGGAGTGAGGTATCGGAGAGTATCCTCTGACAGGACAGTGGGAATCTCGTCAATGACAGGTTGGAAAGGCTCCAAAACGGGATCCACTTTCCGTTCATTTGCGCCTTGAGCCGAGGCTGTAGTTTGGCCGTCGGCGGCAGGCGTATTCACAGTCTCATCGCCATTTGCTGTAGTCATGGTCACATCTCCGTCCGTGTCAGGAGCAGCTGAAGTAACCGGCGCCTGACTCTCCGACTGGCCTCGGACTCGGTTCATAGCCGTTCGAATACTGGCCCGTCCGATCAAGAACGCAAGACCTGCCCCGAGACCGTAGTCACGCATGAGCCGAATGACACTGGGAACAAGGTTGTTGAAGGTATCTCCATCAAGACTACTGCGGAGAAGGTCCAGATACTGCAGTAGCACCTGGTGAGTATCGTCTGCCATGGTGGCTAGGTACTTGATATGAGCATCGCCTTGAACGACCGCAGAGATGGCGCTTTGGCGGTACTGTGCGATGTTGGCGAGGAGGCGGCCAGCAAGTCCGTTCGTCATGAGCGCCTGAATGAGCCGGTCGGCACTCTTGGTTGAAGTATAACGCTTATCGCCCAAGTTGGTTAGAGTTTCGCGTCTTAGAAGCTCACCACCAGTCATGGCATGAAGCTGTGCATCGGTGAAATCCAAGTCTGAAACCACACCTCCCATGGAAGAGATCAACTCCTTGAGGATGACAAGGTCAGTGGAGTTACCCTTGGAAAGCTGGTTGTCCACATAACGAAGGATAGGTGTGGGATCCATAGTAGAGTAGCGGAGGAAGACCTTGCCGGAGAATCTGGACAGGGCCTGGAGCCATTTGCTGGTAAGCAGCACCGAGCTTTCTTGTGTCCGGCTTCTCTGCTGTCCACCAAGAGAGCTAAGAACAGACCAGACGAGGACATCGTAACCAAGGTCTGTGAAATACTTGGCGCACTCCACGAAAGCCTCAATCAGGTTGCTGTAGGACTCGATTTGCTGCAGCGCGACCTTGCAAACGATGCCGGGTGATGGATAAGCGGTTTTGGCAAGGGTCTTGGCCATCTGTGGGATATTCGTTAAAGACAAACGCTTCATGGTACTGAGCGTCTCTAGTCGGGTTCGTGCGAACGCCTTCTTCATGGGTTCGAGTCGGGATGTCTGACCCTCGTACCATTCGGCATAGACGTTGTATCGCACATGAATAGGGAACTGTTTGAGAAGGGTCCAGACACCATCAACAACCGAGGAGTTGGTTTCCAGCAAACTCAAGGAAGGCACAAGCAGGCGTTTAAGTAGCAACAGCCAGCGGGAACGGTTGGCCGGTGACTGATCATCAGCCATGCTCTTGGCGCCGATGCTTGTGAGCTTCGCAATCAGACCAGCATCCTGGCCGATGCTCACGCCAATCACGTTCACGAAGGTGTCGCAGAGCGTGAAGATGTCGTCGACAGTTTGGCAGACAGGAACATTATCCGCCCACTCGTCCCAGTAAAAGCGGTATCCACCTCCTTCACTGGTCTCAGCATCCGGAAATGGCCATCTCAAGGCGCGTTTAGGAGTGACGGCGGCGAGCCTAATACTGCCCTTGGGAACCCCAGATTGGTCCGGGTCTGGAAGTTTCTTGCCAGGACAATTGGCCGAAGACGAAGATTTCGGTTGAGGGCGGCTTTGTTGATAGACGGTTTCGACAGAGTGGTGAAGGATACGGTGTACAAGAGGAATGAGGTCGGGATGCGCTTGAAGAATCCAGTCATGTCGTCCTATGATGAACAAAGATTCCGGGATGGCACCAATCGTGAGAAGACACTTGAGAAGAATAACCTTTTGGTCATCAGGCTCTGGAAGCTTGGGCTTCTCTTCAGCAGTCTCGGTCGTGGACTTGGTATCAGCATCAGTCTTTCCATGGGCCATGTCGCGGCGACTGTTCATTGGAGGAGGGGCCATGTCATCTGGAAGGGCTCCGGCCATCATCAACGCATTAGCGGCACCTCCTGGTCGGTTTGCCCTCTCCTTCTCTTCTAACTCTTTGAACCTGGCTTCCTTGACAGCCTCCATCATGTCGTCCGGCGGCCAAATGTGCTCCCAAAGATCTGTCAGGGTGATAAACCCAACCTTGATGAGGAGGGCTACAAGATAGAGAAGGTTTGCAGGGAGCATGTCTTCACTATCCCTAGCTTCTGTTGTATAGAAACGCAACTTGAAGCCCAGCATCTGGGCTGCATCGCGGTTACCGGTAGGTGGTAGGGTTTTGGTGATTTTAATCCAATCCTTTTCAATACTGTTCTCCTGTCCACTCTTTGTGCTGGCATCCGGAAGCTCCTCGTCTTCCAGGTTGGTGACCTGCCTACCGCCGAGCTCGAAGAATGCATCAAGTTTAATCTTGCGTGCTCTGTCCCAGAAGGCAACATCGCGTTTTAAACGCTGGGCAGCAATAGCTTTTTCTTCCTCCTCGCTCGCAACCCAGTTGGAGTGGTCGGGAAGGGCCCATATAGGCAAACCGCCAACAAATGTGTCGGGTGGGAGTTTGATTTGGGTACGAGGCCACCAGGAACTCACGCGCAGGAATTTAATAAAGAACCTGAACTGTTTAATAAGTACTGAGGCAAACACGTCCAGCGTGACATCGAGAACGCGGCCTGGGTGCAGGTCAAATGTTCCAATAAGGCCCATAACCTTGTTGAAGGCAGCCTGCACGACCTCGGAAGATGGCGGTTCCGCACTGCTAGTCGTAAACAGTTCGGTAACAAGTTTAGAGTAGCCTTCTGTCTCTTCTCGCAGAAGATTGTAGTTCGCCTGACGATAGAGCAGATTCGTAGACTGCCGGATGCCCACACGCACGAACGTATCGCGGACGAGGCCCAGTGGCTGAAGAACTGCAGGGTCAAGGACTTGCCGCATTAGAGTGGTCGACACCTCTGTGGCGTACATGAGATCACGGAGCTGAGGTCGGTAAGGCGCATTTTCCACGTCCATAAAAGTGGCTACAGTGTCGAGAAACAAGGTATGGGCATCGAAAGCCAGGGCGGCACGATCAGCCTCTGAAGGCTCGGGACCCAGTATATCCTTTATAACCTTGCCAGCATCGGAACCGGGAAGACGACCGTCGACAGCAGAGTGGATGAGTTCCTGGAATATGGCGGCAACCTCGGTAAGGTCCTCGTCGTCGCGTGACTGGACACCATGGTCGATGACTTCTTGACGCGCGCCTTTGGACCACCTGGAGACGCGATCATTGGTGATGATGCTATAATCGTAACCGGGCTGAATGGGTGAAGGAGGTGCCGAGTATGTTGGCTGAGGTGGCGGAGCTGGTGCAGGCGCCGGCGCCGGCGCGATCGGGTTTGGGGCTGGTGTCGGCGGTGCAGTGTTTATCGGCGGTAGGTTGTTGGCCGAGGAAGAGCTCGGAGGGCGGGAAGCGGACGAGGGTATGGGGGGGTTGGGATTGTTGTAGGGCTGAGTCGAGTCGCGACGATCGGGTCTCCGGGCGTTTCTCCCATTACGGCCACCGCGTCCTCCATCATAGCCTCGGTCATGCTGTCCTAGCGACGTATCGGAGGGTCGGTGAGGGGGAGGTCTGGAGGGGCCAGAGTCGGGCAGGCCTCGGTGATCGGATCTTTTGCGCTTGGGAGGCATGGTGCTGCTCTCTCTATCGGCGGCAGTAAAGTGACGGCTGTTGCGTCATCTATTGTTGCTGGCGGCGCTCTTGTCCGCACGTTTCTCTTTCGTTGATCGCCCTTGTGGTCGGTCGAGATGAGGGTAGCGTATCTTGTTGTGGTTGTTGTTTGTTTCGTTTGCAAGTGTGAGGTCCAGTTGACGTTGACTTCACTTTTTGAGACCTTGACTAAGATGCAACGAAAAGGTGTCAGAGAAGAACGATGTCCGTCAAGATGATAGCTCCAAGGACCGAGGATAGTAGACGGATCGCAGGAGAAAGGGAGCGTTTTCAAGGTCAAGCAAGGGTTCGGTCAGAAAGAGTGTGCGAAGGTCAAGTCAGAAAGGCTGAGGCAGTCCAACTGTTTCTGGAGGTGTGAAGTGAAGACAAAGACAAGCGTCGGTCCACGAGGCGCCGCAAAATGAATGGAAAGGATGCAATTACCACGATAAAGTTGAATGAATGAGCGACGATAAAGAGTCCGTTGGGTGTTCGTTTTGGGGATGCCGAACAGATGGCGGACAAAGAAAATGGCGACGTGGTGTGTCCGTCGTTTGATGACTACCGTGCCTCGTTGAAAATCCGTGGTTGGTTTTTTTTTTGTTGGAGAAGGTGGAGGAAATTCAAACTGTCCGTCGTCCCACGAGAAATGCTGAATGGTGAATGGGAAGGCAGAGGTAAGGAAGTAAGTCTAGTATGTAGCTGCAGCCCGTTGCTGGTTGCAGTTGCGGCGTCTGTCTGGGTTGTGGTTTGCTGTGCCAGTACTTTAGCGCGTCAAATCGTAGGAGCTCTGGTTGTGGTGTAGGTACCTTTGTACTGGGCGGGTTTGCCAGTCAATTCAGTTGTGTCCGCTGTTCCAAGTCCCACCTCAGCATGGACAGTGATAAAAAGAAGTGGGGACGCGATAAGAGCTGTGGCAGAGCGGGAGCGAAGAGGCAGGACTCAGCCTTGCAGATGAGGCTGCAACTTCAGTTCAGTTCAGTTCAGTTGTTGCAAACTTGAGACAGTGGGCAGAAACCCTGAGGCGCCGGGAAGTGCACTGTGGAGGTACTGTATGTATACTGTGAGCTGCAGTGTGGAGTGTGCCTGGCTCGTGGGCCGCGTGGGGCTCCTCCTCCTCCTCAGGTCCTCCTCCCTCCGCTTCCAGGACGAGGGGGATGCCGGAGACCTATGCACGGGCCAGCCACCCCCTGGTCCCCGCCCCAGATGGCCGATTGCCGGCGTCCATCTGCAAGTGATTCTCTTTTTGGTGACGATGCCTAACACCCTCCCGGTATCTACCTGGGCCTTGTACCGACATTACCCTCTTTTTTTTTTTCTTTCTTTATCCCGATTGTCCATTCAAGAGTCATCTTTTTGAGGAGCAGTTCCACCACGGCCGGTGCCAGTCTAGTGATTGCGCCATCCACGCCTGTGACATTTTTTGCCAGTTGTTCCCTCCGGTTCCCTTCTAGACCGGCAATTAGTGTAGTGCCTAAGGGACTTTGGAGTCATAGCCTCGGCCTCTCCTTAAATGCTTGGGACCAAGTTTTGACCTTTCTCGTTTGCACCAACTCTAGTCTTGGATCTTTTTTCCGTTTCTGTGTTTGTTTTTCGGCCAAGACTTGACCTACATAATTCGGGGATCTAAACAGTGACGCAACCGCGCAGGAGACAAACATTTCCGTCTGCGAGCCTCATCCCTCATCAAACGCTAGAGTCTAGGCTCACCTTACTTCATCATGAGCAACACCACTACTGCTGGTCAGGCCCGACCCAAATATGGTCAGTTTACTCGCTTGTCCCCTTCCCATGCCTGCCCTAGCCTTGTCAAAGAACGGTGGCTGAATACTTCCAAGAAAGAATCCAATCCCAACCCGAGAATCCGTTCGCGGCTCTCATCCCAGACCAGCAAATTGCCGTGATTCCCTCCTTCACCCTAGAGTCGGGTGTCACGCTTCACAATGTCCCTGTGGCCTACACCACCCGCGGCACGCTCAATGCCGACGGTGACAATGCCATGGTCATCTGCCACGCCTTGACTGGCAGCGCCGACGTGAGTGACTGGTGGGGTCCCCTCCTGGGCGGACCTGGCCGGGCCTTTGATGTCTCGCGCTTCTTCATCGTCTGTTTCAACAGCTTGGGAAGTCCTTACGGCACCGCCAGCCCCGTAACTGCCAAGGACGGCGATCCGACCAAGGGCCGTTACGGCCCCGAATTCCCCCTGACCACCATCAGGGACGATGTCAGGTTGCACAAGCTGCTGCTGGACGACTTGGGCGTGCGCCAGGTAGCCGCCGTCATCGGCGGTTCTCTTGGCGGCATGTTTGTTCTCGAATGGGCCTACTTTGGCAAGGACTACGTGCGATGCGTCGTTCCCATCGCCACGTCGAGCAGGCACAGCGCTTGGGGCATCAGCTGGGGTGAGGCTCAGCGCCAGTCCATCTACGCCGACCCCAAGTATGATGACGGCTACTACTCCTTTGAGGACCCCCCCTCCACCGGTCTCGGAGCCGCCCGCATGTCCGCGCTCCTGACCTACCGGAGCCGAAACTCCTTCGAGGCCCGCTTCGGCCGGAACACCCCCGATCCGTCCCGCCGGCAGATCATCCGGGAGCGGCCCACCCCGTCGACCCCCTCGGAGGCGCACTTCCACATCCACAACGATGGACACAAGGTGAAGCGCACCAGCCTGTCGCGCTCCAACAGCAACGACAGCACTGGCATTGCCAGACCCGTCGATGCCCCTGCCGCCGCCGCCAGCAATGCCTCCTCCCACGAAGCGCAATCCGACCCCCAGTTCCACGGTCCCCAAAAGACCACCACCACCACCACCAGCAGCCTCACCGGCGGCGACGTCATGCCCCCGCAATCCACATACTTCTCCGCGCAGTCTTACCTGCGCTACCAAGGCTCCAAGTTCGTCAAGCGCTTCGACAGCAACTGCTACATCGCCATGACGCGCAAGCTGGACACGCACGACGTTTCGCGGGGGCGGGCGGCCAGCATCGCCGAGGCGCTGGCGTTGATCCAGCAGCCCACGCTAGTTTTGGGCATCGAGAGCGACGGGCTCTTTACTTTTGCCGAGCAGGAGGAGCTGGCGCAGCATATCCCCGATAGTCGCCTCGAAAGGATTGACAGCCCTGAGGGCCACGACGCGTTCCTGCTCCAGTTTGAACAGGTCAACCGGTACATTCTCAACTTTTTGAGGGAGGTGTTGCCGGATATTATGAACAAGGATGTCCCCGAGGGTAGCGAGGCGGCGGAGAGCTCCGTTGGGCAGATTACCAAGAGCAGTACGTTTGGAGAGGCGGAGGTGGAGGATATTACTGCTTGGTAATAGGGAGGGCGGGGGAAAAAGAATGGAGTTGGGGGGATGGACAAGGAGAGAGGGGCAAAGGGGAGGGAGAAGGGAAATGTAAAGTGTAAGGAAGAGCAGCAACGATGTTCAACTCATCAAAATTAACTGCCTCGGGGAGATGGATGCAAAGGCCCAGATATCAACAGGAGTATGTCTACAGTCATCTAGATAGAACAGCGGGGGAAAAAGTTATACCAGATGTCTACTATGTTTTATCAGCTCGATACATATTGGGGATGTGGCATTTCGCTATCATCACGTCTACTCAGATGTACATATATATTCCCGCTTGCTCAGCAACCATGCCATCTCCCCTTGGAGTGTGGTATACCATACCCATCCGTCCGCGCACCATCTGTCCACTACCATTCAACTTCATCTTTTCAAGCCCCTCCGCAATCAACCAACCCATCATGCCCCACGCTCAGCACTTTTACTACTCATCTCACCAGTCTTCACCCCGAAGTCGATACCGCAATCTGTCTCTTTTTCTCGATTAATGCGCTGGGGCAAATAAGTGACATCATATGACCTTGATGTGGAGATTCTCTTTCTTAATGCATGATCAGACATGGGTGTTCCCGGTGGCGGTACGGGGTCGGGGTCGGGAAGACCGGGCACCGAGAGGGGTCGGAAGACGGAAGACGGGAAGACCGGAAGACCGGGGATCAGAAGAGTGGGAAATGGTTGGCTGTCGTCGGTGATGGGACGGAAGGGAGGCTGTCGGGGTTGGGAGGTGGGGAACTGCGGACCAGGGGCTTGGCTGACGAGAGGTTGTCAGAGGTTGGAGTTGAGGTTGGAGTTGAGGTACGTGAAAGTGAAGGACTGTTTGATAGACATGATACTTCTATTTCACTCTTTCTATATGCATATACCCAACACATCTTGCTTTATTTCCCATCTTTCTCAAGCAGCTTCACCAGCACCGCCACCCTCTCCCTGATTCCCACCACTCCCCTGTCCACTCAAGCTCTGTTGAGCCTCTCTCCTCGCCTTGGCTCCCGCTTTCAACTGCTCCCACCGCTCTCTATACTTCTCCACCGTCTTCTGCAGCTTGTCATAATCCTTTTCCATAACCGCCATTTGCCTCGTCATGTTCATCATTTGCTCCTCCAACTCTCTATTCCTTCTCTTGAGCGCCGCCACCTCTTCCGGACGAGCACCCGGGGCGGTAGCGCCCATCACGCCACTAGCATTGATAGGCGAACCGTGACCGGCGGTACCGCCAGTGCCAGTGCCAGTGCCAGGATGCTGCAACCGGATACTCTGCGCCAACGCCAGCGTTGAAGTCTGCGAGTGGACCTCAAACGTATGCAGCCGCCTGCTCACCTTGTCGAGCGCATCCTTGAGCGTTTGGTTCTCCATGTGAAGCTCCTCGATCACGTTGGTCAGATCCTTTTCTGACTTTGGCCTGCCTAGCCTCTTGCGGAAGGCCGAGGGGTTTGTAGCAGCCGAGGATGACGATGGTGGGAGAACAGGCGGGGACTGGATTTGCGACTCCCGAGCGTCGACAAAATCGTCCTCGTCTTCTTCCTGGTCGTCCAGGGGATTACCGTTGCCGTGGTCGCGGTGGCCGTGGATCGAGGCGGCTAGGCGCCGCTTCTCCTTCTGCTCGTGGTTGAGGATGCTGGCATAGGAGGCGGTGTGGCCGCTGGTTGGAACCACGTAGAACGAGTCGGCAGGCGCGTGGCCATCGCGAGCAAGGGTGCGTAGAGTGGCGCGAGAGTAGATTTTGGTAAGATCCGGGTCGCTCGAGGCAGAAACAGTTGTGGCCTTGGGTTGCCGGGGCGGTTTTGACCCTGAGCGCGGCGCGATCTCCGGGGAGAGCACCGGGCTAGCCGTGTCCGACGAGTCCTCGGCTGTCAAGGGAAGGCCGGCGAAGGCTAGAGGCGCGGAAAGTCGGTTGATTAGACTACCGAATGTGCTGTAAAATCTTGTAAAGCCGTCATCGGTAGCTGTAGGTGAGTCGGGGCCAGATATTTGAGGTTTCGAAGAGGAACCAGCCGCATCTTCCTTGGTTGGTGACGTTTTCCCTGGAGGTACCCAGCTCGGCTGTTGCTTTTGTGCTCTATCAGACACTTCGTTTCCCTTGCTTCCACCCCTCAGCGAGCCCTCTCTGTTCCGGGGATGGACTTCCAAGTTGCCGGGTGCCTGATCGTTGGACACGCTGGGGTTCAACGGTTGGCTCTGCCCTTGGTATCTCGATCTTATCCCTCTTGCTGACGCAAGCTTGCTGGCAATGGACGAGGAAAGGTCCCGCTGACGGTATCTGGGATGTTGCGAAAGAGTGGGCGGGGGTTTAGCTGCGCTGGGTAATGTGGCGAGCGAAGGCGGTCCAGCCCTGTCCGATTTGGCTGACTTAATCCCGGCATCCTGACTTGTTGATGCCTTTTCCTCATCTTCCTCAGGAATGTCACTATCCACACTCGATGGCTGACTTGTCGGCTCGATTGGCACCTTGAGTAGTTCGGCCAAGCGCTTGTGATGCTGCTCTAGGAGGGCCAGCGTCCGTAGAGCCTCGGTGCTCGTAGTGCTCTTTGCAGCGTTTGCGAACTCGCCGGCGGCCTGGGCATGGTGGATGATGGCGACCGTGGTGTCGGCGGTCTGGGTCGCAACTGATGCGGCTCTCGCATGGTCGTGGGCCTAGGGGTGTGCTATCATTAGCGAGATTTTAAGCTCATCCGACATCGACTTCCATCTCGGTTATCTTGCCCTGGCCAGATGCGATTGCGTGGCTCTAGGGGGGGGGGAGAAGCGATGGAGAGGCAGGCAACTAGCACATGCCGACAGCCCAATAACGAACGTACCTTTACTAGGGGAGACAAATCCATGCTTCTTGTGTACACTTTAGATGCATCTGCACAAATTTCTGGGGGCTGATATTTCACGCGATGACAGCACAGGAGGTATAATTTGGTTGATCTCGGTTCAAGGGAAGAGGATAGATAAACTGCTGTGATACATTAGGTGCAGGTGATGGCGGGGTGTTGCGAAAGCCGGAGAGTTGGTGCGACATTCGTTGGCTGCAAGACAATAGGGCGCTGCCTTGACCCATCGGCGAACCAATCACTAACACCGACCATAACCACCCACCAATGAAGACTGGCAAACAGCGATTGGAAGCCATTGCGACGACCATTAGCGGCTCAAAATACTTGATACCGGGTGTTGACAAGAAGGGCAGCAGTTACATATTCCAAACACATTATTTTGAAGCTCTAGAGATAGGATGCGGCTGGACTAATGTCGAGGCTCCAATCAAGGATGTTATCCAATTAGATTGGGAAACTCATAATCTAACCCATGTCATACTGCAACTGCAAATTCCGCGTATTCCCTGCTCCATATGAGCCCCCCCCAAAAACGGGTTATTAAAAAACAAAGTGACGCTAGGAACATGAAACACGGTAACATCAGTCCACATGCTTGAGATCGGCGGTGACCAAAACGAGGAGAAAATAAGACGAAGAGAGAAAAACGAAGAGAGGAAGACCCTTATACGCGGGAAAGGAAAAAAAAAGGATGTTGTCCTGGTGATCCAGGAACATCGGGAATTGAGCCCGACGTGGGGGTCGAACCCACAACCTTGAGATTAAGAGTCTCACGCTCTACCGATTGAGCTAGCCGGGCGGTTGTTAACCGCCAATTGTTGACAATCTGGCTCGGAGAGGGCACTTATAAAAGAAAGCCGTTATGTATCCACCACATCTGGCATCGCGTGGTTCTTCCAGCATTGCGGCATACAGGGACGCGCACATGTAGGATTTTCGTCAGGGATGTTGAAACTGCTTCTGAGCTTGTGTTATTAAATGTTGATGGACTTTATGATTTCCGCGGATGGACCTGTGGCATGCATATGAGGATGGTTAGCGTTTCTGTGTCCGCGTACAGGCACGGCTGCACAGCATTCGAGTTGGAGAAGAAGCCCGTTGGGATACACTGCGCTTTCGCCTTGATGGATCGTCAGGAACAACCCGTGTTTCTTCAATTAGAAGAGAAGCTCTGACGGCGAGATCGGCGCTGAGGTGGGCGCAGGAGGGTGATGGAGCAAGTGTTTCGTGTCTGCCCTGTTGTTATACATCGACGGGAACCACAAGGGGGCGAAGGAGTGTCAAGAGGTAGGTAGCACCTAAGTGTCGAAGAAGACTTGATAAATAGAGGCCACTGGGAATGATCAAAGCCTTAAAACACAGAGAGTTGACATCAAAAAGACAATACTTTGCCGAGTATGCTCGTATGAAAGACAAGGACAAACACCAAGGGGCTGATGTTGATGACATGGCATCCAGGACGGACGAGCAGCGGCAAGGGAGGTGGAGTTGACCTCAGCTTAACGGGCTTGATGGGCCACGAGGGTTCGTCTTATCTTATCAGCAAGGTTGGGGTACAGCACCAGGTACAGCCCGGGCAGGGGGGCCGGGGAATTAGCGGGTTTGTTTTTGACGCTGTTCGATAGGGAATCTAACAGCATGGTTTGTACACTATAGCGATCTCTGGGGGATATTCGGATATTGCGAAATGAGAGGCAAAAGGAACCGTCAAGACTTTTTACATCTGCAGGTTCCTCGTCGCTGTTGTTGCGCAAGACGTCGCTCCCGTCACTGTGTCGTCAAGAGGAGCTTTTCGTAAAAGGAAACAAGCACTGGAGCGAGAAAAAAACAAATAGATAGAGAATTGAAAAAAGAAAAACAACTAAATCTGAAGGCAGGTTCACACGTCTTTCTGGCAACAAGACAACGTGACAAGACAACAAGACGACGGACGAGGCCTCGGTTTTTCCAAATACGTAGGTCAAGCACAGTTTGCAACACAAGTGTAAGCGAATACTAGGTACCTACACCAAACCAACCAAACTACATCAAGCCAACTGCTGTTGAGGTTGGTTTTGCTTGCTTGCTGAACTTTGAAGAAGGATTCGGATTCGCTGAGTGGTTCAGGGTTGCCATCAAGGTTTGAATGACGATGTCATAGCGCCAATGGTTTCAAAGGAGGGAGCCATCGATTCGAAGCTTCCAAGCATATTATCACAGCACTAACAAACACACTGTTGCATCACCACGACTCACGTCGGTCGACTGGAATGAACACACACAACCTGCCCTTTTCAATAAACGACCGACGACACTGCGACGTCGCCTTCATCACCTGAACACACTTTCTTTCTTTGATACCACCACGGCGCAAACAACAACAACAAGTCCCCTCTGTCTGAATCATGGATAATGCACCCACCGGCCTGCAGAAGCTTTTCCCCAAAGCGATAGTGGCCAAGCGGCGCGACCGCCGCAGAAGACGGTCATCATTGGCAGAATCAGCAAGTCTTAGCAGCACTGGCTCGATTGGGACCGATGATGCAGTCTCGGTCCCCATACCCGTCCCCGGATTCCGGTTGCAGTCCACAAGTGCCTCGCAGGCACAGGCGCAGACACGAACAGCAGGCTCCAGGTCGAGGTCACCAGCCTCAGAGGGGGTGGATAGTAATACTGACGACAACACCAACAACAATAACATCAACGCCGATTCAGAATACCCCGACTCCCAACCGCTCTCCACGCCGGTACCATACGAGTCGACACCGGACCCTGAATCGTAAGTGGATGTTCCATTTCTTCACACTCCAGTCCCCTCCAGTCTCCAGTCTATTACCTCCCGTCTCCGTCCATCCCTCCCCTTCCATTCTCCCCAAAAAGCGTCCCAGTTCAGTGGCTCCAGGCGCCTAAATCCGAGCGAAATGGAGAGTCTGTAGGCGACGACAGGGGATCCAAGATTCCAGGATCACGGAGCCGTAATGGAGCAACATTGGACGTCTCCACCACAAAGACATTGGGAACCGTCGCTTGCTCTCCCGTCTTTGGGGTCTTCCATGGCTCTGCGCCTCCCCCGTGCTGCAGAGGGATACCGCAGTAACTTGAACCTCCTCTACAAGAACGCTGGCTTCCCATCTCCCAGTTACAGCCTCACAAACCCTCTTCCTCAACCTTAGCATCCTAACATTCCTTCTCCCTTTTGTTTTATCCCTATCCCTCCCGTTTCAGGCTTATTTCTTGTATATCGTCATCTTGGCTGGCCCCAATCTCCCCGTTCCGCTCCCACGAGCTGACAGTCCGGTTTCTATTTCAGTGCCAGCGCGTCAGTCCGCCCCACCCCAATCTCGACCCATCCTTCCCAGATTGGACATCTGACGACGTCGTCACCGCTCGTGCAGGCCGCCCATCTTCCAGAAGTCCATACTCCCGAATCAGACCTCCCCGACTTGTCCATTCGCTCCTCGGCCTTGCCTGCAGCTAGCACCGACAGCCTCGAGTCCGCGTATTCTGCCAAGCGAGCTGACACAGCAATTGCGTCAACCAACGACACCCTGCCCCAAAGGGTCCCCTCCGCTAGCCGAGAACAGGACATCTTGCGATCGGGAGAAGGCAGCACAGAGCAGTTTCCCAACATCACTGTTAGCGACACGGGCGCTTCCCCAAATACCTCTGGAATTGTAACGGATACCTTGAGCAAGGCAACAGACCGGATCCGCCGACTCTCACAAAGCCAGAAACTCACCCCTCTTGTTCCTCCGCAAACGCCACCAAAGTCGACTACCGATTCAGCAGCCCCGGCGATCATTAACACCCCTCCTACGCCAACAGATCATAGTGCGCCTGCTCTGTCAGCGAAGAATAGCCCAGTAGCGACAGCTCCACCGAGCCCACGCAGAAACCCGCATGCGCTGATAGGGAACATGAGTTCGCCACGGGGCAGAAGCAGGGCCGGCTCCGGCAGTATTGGTCCGAGCAAACTGTCCAACATCACCTCCGCTCCCCTGACGCCGACTCCCGAAAACCCGAGCAACCCAACTGCGAACTTCTTTTCTTCCATGTTCTCGGCTGTTCAAAACACAGCAAACACATTAAGCAGCACAATCTCAAGCGCGAACTTGGCGGCACCCGGGAACGGCAAGAACAGATCTGTGTCGAGTTTCACAAGTCACAAAGGAGGCAGCAACAACGACGTGAACAACGTGGAAGTCGAGTCAGCTACGGAAGCCTTTCCCGGCGCAGATATGGGGTCCAAGGAGCCTGCAGTCAAGACGATTGGGAATGGCGACCTGAGTCTCAGCCACCTCGGCATAGTTGACCCGCCACCTACAGCTCCCGCCCCGGCAACTATAAAAGTCACCGAACACGAAGCTCGAGGAAGATCCGAGTCTGCTCCTATCGACGCCAATGGCAATCCCGAGCTTGCGCTGCCTGAAGACGCAAATATCTACCGGACCCGGTCGCTCTATGAAGCGTCCCCCGGCGGGGAACGCACAACACCGAACGGGAGCGTATACGAAGGCAAGACAGGATCGGGAGTTCAACGAAGCAGTAGCATTCGGAGCGCCATTAGCAGGCGAAGGAAACGTGCCACCAGTGCCGTCTCGGGGACAAGCGGGAACACAGTCGCTGCAGCAATTGCCGCAGCTAATGGCTCGGCGCCTCCTGCAAATGCCCCCAAGCTCACGGGATTCGCCGTTGCCAATAAGAGGCGCAACCGGGATTTCCATACCCTTTTCAAGAGTGTTCCGGACGATGATTACCTGATTGAAGACTACAGCTGCGCCCTTCAGCGTGATATTCTTGTCCACGGTAGACTGTACGTGTCTGAGGGCCACCTGTGCTTCAGCAGTAACATTTTCGGATGGGTCACAACCCTGGTCATGAGTTTCGATGAGATTGTTGCCGTTGAAAAAAGAATGACAGCCCTTGTCTTCAAGAACGGCTTGGAAATCTCTACGCTTCATGCCAAGCACATTTTCGCCTCATTCACAAGCCGTGATAGTACTTACGACCTGATTGTCAAGATTTGGAAACTGGGCCATCCTCACCTGCAGAGCTCGCTTAACGGTGTTCGACTGGAGGGTACTGGCGGTGACAGGACCGAAAAAATCGACGAAACGGAAGTCGCGTCGGCACCGGAAGGGGGCAGCGATTCCGGATCCGCCGATGAAAGCGGCAGTGCTGGTGAGGACGACGTTTACGACGAGGATGAGGACAACGGAGACGACCAAGATGGAACACAGGTATCAGACGCTGGCGCAGCAGATGCCTCCGGAGAACAAGCAGTTTCACGGAAGCCGTCGGGAATGATGGGTGCGGCCAGTACGGAAAACAAGGACGAGACAGCGCAAACTACAGTCGCGGATGACTTCCCTGGTCCGGCTACCCATGCACCAACCGAGTGCGGAGACGCCGCAACCCATTACGACAGAGTTATAGGCGACGATGTCGTTCCCGCGCCGCTGGGTAAGGTTTACAACCTCCTCTTTGGCGCACCATCGTCAGCCTGGATGACAAAGTGGCTTCTTAACGACCAGAAGTGCTTTGAGATCAATATGGACGATAAGAAGGGCCTCAACAACGAGCAAAAGACCCGGACATTCAACTATATCAAGCCATTGAATGCTTCCATCGGACCTAAGCAAACAAAATGCATGGTTACCGAACAACTTGACAATCTTGATTTTGAAAAGGCTGTCAATGTTACAGTCTCGACGCAGAATCCCGATGTGCCAAACGGCAACATCTTCGTGGTCAAGACCAAGTACTGTCTCTCTTGGGCTGAAAACAACGCGACAAGGGTTCAGATCAACTGCACGATCGAGTGGTCCGGCAAGAGCTGGCTTAAAGGTACAATCCACTCCCCGTGCTCAATCAGACCCTGGTTCTTACTAACGCTTCACAGGTGCAATTGAACGTGGTGCAAACGAAGGCCAAGCGCAATACGCCAAAGACCTCTTTGTAGCGCTCAAGGCTGCCGTCTCATCTCGTCCTCGCTCTAATACCCAAACCAATGGTGCAGCACCCAAAGGCAAAAAGCGCGGCCGCAAGAACAAGGCTGCGTCTGTGCCAACCAGTGATGCAGAAAGCGTCAAGCACACGCCGGCTAAGAAGCAGGACTGGGGGCTACTGGAACCTCTTCGTCCATTCTTGGGTCCTGTTGTGGATCCTCTGCGTCCCATCCTAACTGGAAATATACTCTACGGTGTGCTGGTAGGACTTTTGATCTCAACCTGGCTTCGACTTGGAATGAACAATTCTCGCTCCGGCGCAGTTATAGTCCCCGGCCATGGAGATCTGATGGGATACACGAACTACGCACAGAGAGTCGCAGCGTACGAGGAGATGTGGAGGAGAGAAGAGAGCGAACTTTGGGACTGGATTGAAGACAGGGCAGGACTAGACAGGTTGCACGGTGGTGGTGGAGTTGAAGAAAGAGGCGGAATGGGCGTCAGAAAGCCCGTCAAAGGGAGGAAAAAGGGGGAGGCGGAATACAGAACCGCTGAGGAAAAGTTGAGGGAGGAGAAGATGAATGAAAGGGAGGTCCAAGAGGCAATCAGGGTTACCGAGGAGAGGTTAAAAGTCTTGAAGGCGGTTGTGGAACGAGATTCCGCCAAGATCGATGAGCTTAAGTGAGAAGCTCGATCGCCAACTACTACAAAGCGCTGTCACTTTTCTCTATCTCTTTTTCCTTTTCCCTGGGCTGGAAGGAAGGAGGTTCTTTGGACACGAAAATTTCCGTCCTTCAGGATGACATCCCGATGCAAAGAGGATGAGACACTAACGTTATTTATAACACATTGCATACCTTACGGACAAACATTTTCCTTGTTTAGTATATCTTTTCTACACTAGTAGCTTATGGCAGGACGTCCAGAGTTGCCTAAGAGGCTTTTGAGCACAATTTATAGGATTTTTATTTTGTTGACAAATTGTCTCTCGTGCCCCCGTTGAAGCAATGACAATAGTATGGTAAGATAATAGCAAAAGGACCTTTTTTACGTCACCTTCGTACCGTTTTTTTTCCTGTTTCAGTTGTTCCCGAGGTAGCGTCCCGATACGATGCCGAAAAGTCCAAGCATTGTGGAATGAATACAACTGAACAATGTCGGTTAAACTCGTTAACATCAAGCTTATCAAGTGATAACGGTAGGGTTATAGTTACCTAGCTATAGCCAAAGGCAGTAATGTTCCAGGATTTCATAACTTTGAGTAGGAGAGCAGCCAAGTGGGAAGATGTAGAGAATTCAATTACAAATGATTCTCGCAGACAATTGACATGTGCCGACACACACTCGTACCTATTCCCCGTGTCAAGCCGGGTCAAATCCATCTTGCCTGGAGGTACTTGGGAAACATGAGGGCATTTTCATACCTCTACTTGGGCTGGCTCCTCCCATAACCTAGCTCCCTACCTAGGTAAGGTACATCTGAGTCTAGGTTTAGACGGCGATAGGTAAAAACACCGTCAAGGTTTCCGTTAAACGGTTGGTCAGGGGGCCCGCCCCCGGAATCCCCATCCCACCTCATCACCTACACTAGGTTGGCTGGCTGGTTGAGTGTCCACCCGTCCCGCCTCGCTAGGAGGAGGAATCCCGCAGTTAAGGCAGCTTGACCCCACTGCGGGGGAGGGCACTTCAGGCGCTGATCAGGGCGTAGGTTCGTTCGTCTCAACTTTTTGTCACCTCGAGTGTGTTTCAAACAACGGAACCTGAACCTAATTGCTTCGACAACCAAAATTCCCACCACTTTGATGTTCCTATACAAACACCCAAGGGAATAGAGCCCAATTAACCCTTTCAGAATACCTACGTACATAGGTACGACCACTACGCTACAGAGCCAAACACCACTCGAGCCCCGACAATGTCCGATGTCAAGGCCAATGCCGAGGCCCTTGTGCCCAAGTTCAAGTTCGAGCGCCAATTGAACCAAGGTGCGTAACCACTCTACTCTCTCCCCATAGAAACTTGCATTGAGAAGAGCCATCTGGAAGCTCAGTGGCAGCTCCACCAACACAAACATCATGTATACTAACCATGTTCTACACACCCTACTAAACAGACCAAGCCGGCCGCCGCACCACCCTCCTGGGCACCATCGACTCCTCACCGGCCCTACTAATCCTCGAGCGCGCTCCCTTCCCAACCTCAACCGACTACCTCTCCTCCGCGCCCCTTACCCTCCGCACGCTCAAGAACCTCGGCGCCAACGATATTTACCACTGGTACATGGCCAGCAGCGGCAGCAGCAGCACCAACTGTAATGACCCCGAAAAAGACAACGACGACGACGACAACGAACAAGCCGACGATTTCTCCGACCTCAAAATCAACCTAATCTACCCCTGCACGCCCAAACACATCGCCAAATACTCCCGCCAATTAGTCCGCTACGTGACCGAGACGCCCGCCCTCTACCAGTCGCACGTGCGTCCCTATATGCAAGCGCAGCGCGAAGCCGGCCGGCTGAACTGGGTCTTCAACATCATCGAGGGCCGCAAGGAAGTCGAGGACGTCATCTACCGCACGCCCTTTGGCCAAGACGCGGACGACGAAGGGTTTTTGTTGCTGCCGGATCTGAACTGGGACCGCAAGACGCTGGACGCGCTACACCTGTTGGGGCTGGTGGAACGGAGAGATCTCTGGAGCTTAAGGGACCTCAAGAAGAAGCATGTGCCGTTCTTGAGGCACATGAAGAGGAAATTCGTCGAGGCCACGACCAAGGTGTACCCACAGATTGAGGAGGACCAGCTGAAGCTTTATGTGCACTACCAGCCTACGTATTACCACTTTCACATTCACATTGTGCATGTGCAGCTGGAGGCAGGGGCGACGCAGGCGGTGGGCAAAGCGGTGGGGTTGGATAGTATCATTGAAACGTTGGAGGTTATGGAGGGGGATGGGGAGGCTGGCATGGAGAAGTTGACCATGTGCTATACGCTTGGGGAGGAAAGTGATTTGTGGAAGGATGTTTTTGGGCCGTTGAAGAAGAAGGAGAAGGAGCAGCAGCAGCAGCAGCAGCAGCAGCAGTAGCAGCAGTAGCAGCAAAAAGAGGAGGGGGGGAAACTAAAGAAGTGAATCACGGTGACTATAGAAGGTAGGTGCTCTAGACCTCACGTCCGTACAGCTTCTCTACCGCCAGGACTAAGTCGTTAACGCTGGAGCCGTGAGGGCAGTCAGACCACTTGCCGCCGTCGCGGATGCAAAAGATCTCGTTGTCAAGGCGGACGGTGCAGCTCTTTGTTACGCCGGCCTAGAGAGGAGGGAAGAAGTGTGTTAGATACCACGTAATACCATGAGGCGAGGTAATTTGGGTTACAGTATGACGGGAAGAAGGGACCAAACGTACATCGGCGCTTCTCTTGACGCTGTCCCTCAGCAAACCGATACCCAAGGCACCGTCATCCTTGGTAGCACATTGGTTGAGCTGGTCAAAGTCGATGGCGTGCTCGAGCGCACAGTCTTCGATCAAGCTCCGCTGAGGAATCTCATGGTAGTTCTTGGCCAAACACATGGTGAAGCCAAGGAAGATCTTGGGGTCGGGATACAGCTTTTGGGCGCAAAGCTCAATGATGTTTCCAAGGCCTAAAAGAACAAGATCGGTCATATCAGTCTCCACCCGTGACACATCCGTCTGTTTCCCAAAACGGAAAACGGGAACAATCTCCTCCCACTTACACTCTTCTGGGCCGTGCTTGCAAGCAACTCCATCATCGCCGTTGGTCGGTCTGCAATCATCATCAGCATCCCACTTTATCCTATCTCTCTGGATTGTTTTGTTGCTAGCGTAGTACGCACGTTCCGATGAACGACAAGGTAAAGTTGACCTTGGTATGCACCCTCTGCATAGCAGGCAGTACCAACTCCCGGAAACAGTCTCGCGCGTCGGGGCATTTGCTCATGATATGCGCCTCAAGGGGGACCGGTTCGTGGTCAGCGTCACCGCCAACGTCGATATCGGTGATTGGTACGGTAAAGGTGTCGATGGTCGTTATTGGCATTTGCTCGAGCGACCATTCCGATAGGATGTCGTTGTCGTCGAGGTCCATGTCGAGCCCGCACAGGGTCCACACCATTACCATTAGGCAGACGGCGACGAGGAAGCGACGGAGGGCGTGTTTATCGCGGCCATTCTGGTTGCTGCTGTTGGGGTTGGACGGAGTAGGTGGTGATATGGTGATGGTTGGTGTTGTCGTTGGTAAGAGAGTTTTTTCGTCCATGTTTGCGAAATCGCTAAACACTCAATAATTGTCGCTGTGTTGTGTAAATATACCTACTTTGTATCACTGCAGTGCTTCAAGAAATGTTCGAAATGGTGGACAGGGTTGAAGAGTTGAGGTCCGGGGGAAAGGACGGAGAGAGGCAGCAGATCTGATGTTGGGGTCCAGCATCGTCACTCAGATGGGTCACGAACGGACCTAGCATCAAGCCATCCAAAGTGGAGACAGGCGCGATAACGTGGAGTGCTAAGGAGCAATGGGATGTCCCAGTGATGCCCTGGCGCTTAACTGGGGGCGTTACTAGCCTATGTCCAGAGACGGAGTCTCTATCAGCACCAGGGGACCAGGCAAGCGAAGCACTACATAATGTTAATGTTAGCCCAGGTACCCAAGTGCCTCTAGCAGTTGCCCGCTATCAGTCCCGGACGAACAGCTTCCCGGGACATGGCTACGTGTCTTTCTATCACCAGATCGAAGAGCTGTTATTAGAAAGATCGCCACGATATCTGTTTTGCTTGTTGTTGAGAATACTCTTGGTCATCGAAAACAATTTGCTCTCTGCCGTGGCCACATGGCCAGGTTGATGAGATGGAAGGTCTCACCACGCAGGTACCCTCGATTGCTTCGTCCCGAATAGAAAGTGGAGACGTGTGTGCTAACAATTCATCCAGGACCTACTAACAATAAAGCTGTCAGCAACCTATCTATGTGCTACATGCGAGCAACCGCAACCCCGTTGACGCCATCCATCCCAACTGGAAACCCCGCAACATTCTCCGAAGTCGTTAATCACATCAGCCGTTGTGCCTGCCATTGTGTTGGGATGGAAGGCGGCATGCTGATTGCTCCCGGGTCTTTGTCACCACTTGCTAAGTCCTTGTTGGCAATTACCTAGGTAGGTATTGATGGTTGGTACCTACCTCTACTTACCTCTAGGTATAAACTCCGATGGATGTTTCCGATGATACGTGACATCAATCAACCTCCTGGCCCGGGCAGTCTAGTGAATGGGCGGAATGGGTCGTCCTCTGCGACAATCCACATCATCCTCCACAAGCCCATCCAACTCACTCCTCCCCGAGCCATGGACTTTACTGGATTCAACCTAAAGCCCGAGCGAGCGCTCGTGATTCATGGACAATTGCTCCTTCCGATAAGACTGCCCAGCCGCAAACTATTGATTCAGCCGGTTGTATAAAGACAACACATGCCTCACTCCAGTCAGACCCCTCTCGACCTCTCTTCCAGCATCCAGGGCCATCATCATCTCAAGCTCGACAAGACATGACAACGCGATAACGCCAACTACCAGCAGTCAGAGCCCCCTCGACCTCAACTTCAACCATCAGCAGAAACCGAATTGGCAACAATGTCGCACTCGTCGGCTGTGACTACCATCGACCAGTTTTTGAAGCCCTTGGCTCTGGACAATGCCGTTGCTTTGAAACTCTCGAGGGAATTCTATTCCAACTTCAAACACTTGTGTACCGAATCCCTGAGTCAGTTCCTGCCAACTCCCATTTCCATGTCCATCTTGAGGCCTGTGGGACGCCAGAACACCGGTCGGTAAGTTCTCGATATCTGCCCATACCATGTTGCTACATCTCGGCACTTGGCATTAGAAATGGGTGGTGGCAGCTTGCTGACAATGAGTGCGATAAACAGCTTCCTTGCCATGGACATGTACGATACCCCCACAGTGTTCATGGTTTTCACTCCACCCGGTACTTGATATTGACTTTCGACTTTAGTGGTGGTTCAAACTTGAGAGTGGGCTTCGTGGAACTCCTATCCGAGGGCCAAGATCGCCGCCTAAATCGTCTCCTCGAGCAGTCATGGCCTATCCTGGATCACCTCAAACACGAGAACTCAGAACATCTCTTTGGATGGGTTGGAGAGCACATTGCACAGGTGGTTCGGAAAGGGTGTGAAACTTGGGGGTTATCTTCGGACGAAGAGCTGCCCATGGGCGTCACCTTCAGCTTCCCCATGAAGCAGACCTCGCTTTCCGAAGCTACTTTGATGGCTATGGGCAAGGGCTTCGCCATCACATCAGATCTAGACCTGGGTGGTCACCTTGTCAAGGGCTACGAACAGCACAGGACAGCCGGCTTACCTCCTATAAAAATCGCCGCCATCACCAACGATGCTGTGGCTACATTGGTATCCTTTGTATATCAATACCCAGCCGCGCCCAATCAGAAAGCAGCCATGGGCCTCATTGTCGGTACTGGATGCAACGCTACGATACCCCTCCAGTTCAGCAAACTGCACAAAAATAAATTTCCGGATCTGATCAGTGTTCAGCAAGACTATGACCTGTTGGACGTCGGGATTGCGGTAAACACAGAATGGAGCATCAACGGGTCAGCATCGCCGCTACGCATGCTTGGGTTGATTAGTCGCTGGGACGACGAGCTGGACAAGGCATGCGAAGCCCCTGGTTTCCAGCCATTAGAGTACATGACCGCTGGTCGCTATCTGGGCGAGTTGGCGAGGCTCATATTTGTGGACTTTTTGACCACTGTTCAAGGCGTCCCGCCTGAGGATCTGCCACAGGGGCTTCACCAGCGCTTTGGTCTCTCCACAACCTTCCTCAGTCATTTCTACCCGGATAGCGACAAGGGTGATATTCTGGAGCAGTTACAGAAAGAGTTCGAATTGTCTACGGATTCGACATTTACATGGACATCCGACCATGCGGACACCCTGTATCACATAGCCAAGGTTATCCAAACTCGAGCAGCAGGCATTGTTGCGGCGGCCACTATCGGACTTTTGCGCTGCGCTGACGAGCTTCCTGACCCATCAGAACCAGTTCGAGTTGGCGTCGCTAACGGTGACAATGTTGAAGAGCTTGTAGTGGGATATACTGGCGGCTGTATACAGCACTTCCAGGATTACTTGAAAGACACGCAAGCCTTTTTGGATTTTATCACGCAGGAAGAGTTCGCAGCCCAAGGGAAAAGGATACGCGTGAAATTAGAGCCCTGCCATGATGGGGGAATTACAGGGGCGGGGATCTTGGTGCCTGCTGCTTTGGCAAGCACCCAGGCGTAGGCCTTCAGTTCTGGTAATGAATGTGGTATGACTTGTTTCGAGGGAAGGGCGGCGTTTGAGGCCATAGAAGGGATTGGCATATGCTAGGAAGAGTTATAACTGTTTTACTCGACAGAAAGATTTTATCCGCCCACCGCATCTGAAAGAAGTCTAAGTTATCTCCAGAGAGGAGCTTGACCTGACAGGTGCCTCAGTTACCATGGCAGAAAGCAGCAATTAGACTTACACACTCGCACTCCAAGGTACACCCACCACCTTACCATTCAGATCCTCGGTTACCGCCTCCACACTTCAAGATACCAAGCAAAGAAGGGTTGCAGGAGCGGAAGAATACTTTTTTGGAAAAAAAAAAAAAAAAAAAAGAAAAGAAAAAAAAAAAGAGGCCTGTAGCCAATGGAACGAACCTCGCGGTAACGTCCCATCTCAACCTCCGCATCCATAACACTTGCTGACACCCCGGGCTAGGAGCCATTCAGGTCATGCATTGCACTGACAGACAAGGGTTCTAGCCCACTGGAGCCGCTAGACCGTTTTCAACCGTCCCCTCCGACACAAGCCCTGCTGCCAGAGGGGATCACCAGTGCGGGGCGGAGATGAATTTGGCGAACTTGGTCACCCGACAGCGAGGATGGTCACTTTGGGCCTTACGCGGGTCAACCACGCGTGCTCATCGAGTGCCCGCCCGCAAAGGCCTGGATCTGCAGGGGATTTGATGCTAGTTCAAAAAGTGAAGCGGGAGATATTCGGTGAAAAATGAGGAAATAAGCATGAAAAAAAGAATGGGGGAGGTTAGGGAGCTTTAAAGTGGATATTAAAGGTCAAACGCATCGTTGTTTCGATTTTCAATGTGACTGACTGTCAGCTTGGATTTCAGCCCAACAACATCTTCCTTCCTTCTCACTTCATTTTATCCCGATTTCTCATCTCCGACGGTGCTCTCCCATTCGTCCACACACGGCCTTTTCATATGGCAGTTCAAACAAGGGGACCTGATGAGAAAACCCAAAAATAAATACACACAATGAGCTCCCCAAATTCTGTTGCTACCGCCATTCTCGCAAACACCGGACAATCACGGAACGACTACTACGGTGGTGGCCTCGGTATAGAAACACCCTTGACAGGACGTTCATTCCTTAGCGTTAGCATCGGCAACACCACGGAATCTATGGCTTCATCCATCGTCAGCCCTCGAACTCGAGGTCGATGGGACCGACGAATCAGCGACGTCGAATCCGGCATGTACAGTCCTACAGCAGCAGCAGCAGCACCACCAGCTCCACCATCATCCTCATGGCTCACAGACGACGACGAAGCCTCAGTCCGCTCAGGAAGACTCGACACCCGCCCCTTCCCATCTTTCGGCCCATCTTCGTCCATAGCGCCTGACTCATCCTTCTACAGCCAGATTGGACGGTTTCAGGGTGTCCGGAACAGCGTCTCGCTTCCCCAACCATGGCGAAGACGGAAAGAATCTACGACTACGGGGTCTTACACCACGTCAACCGATAGCGATGAGGATGAGGACGAGGACGAAGACGACGACGCGTCAACCATTAGTGGTAGCCGGCATGGAGGACAACGGCAACAAGAACAAGAACAAGACGCCGCCGCCACCTCCGCCGCCGTTGATCTTTTCTCTCAGCACCAGTTCATCATGCCCAAGCCTGATGAGACTACACCCCTAATAGCAGCTGATGAGGAAAACCTTTATTCCTCAGCAGACGCAGGCGACGATCCATCTCGGACCACTTCTTCACCCTATCATCATCGCTCACGCCTCTTCTTACGCCGCTTGATTTTTGCTTGTTTGGCTGGGATAGTGGTGGCTAGTGTTTTGGTGGTGGTTACGATGAGGCCTCCGCCTGCGTCAAGTGAGGGGAGGGAAGAGTGAAGATGACGACGATCGACTGGCAACGAAGTTCATGAGGGTAGACGGCGGACGGGATAGAGGATAGAGGATAGAGAGGATAGATATAGGCAGGGCGTTGGAGGGATGGGCAAAAATTTCATATTTTGGCTTGGCTTGGGGGATTTACTGCGAGCGTCTTGTTGTGATTTGGTCTGGTTTTGTGTAGGGTAAAGAGAGAGAGGGGCGTGCATTCCCAGAAGAGGGGAGGAAAGAAAAAGACACAGGGCAGAGAGAGATAAGAGAGATTGAATAACAGCCCAGTACAGACTCATTGCCAGTGAAAGACAAGCTGAGAGACTAATGTCTTTCGTCTCGCTGCCCGACAAGCTCTTTGCGGTGTGAATTACTTGCATCCGACGTTCACCTTGGCTCCCGCTTACCAAGCCCCTGGGGTTATGAGAATCTCATAGGAGAAGAATTGACTGGATATTGAGAGGGAGGTTAATCGTGGAACTATACATGTTCACACGGCGCATCTGAGAGACGTCTTCCAAGTACATGATAATGTTCAATGCTTCTAATTTTTTGCTGCTCGACGTCAGTGGCCATTCCACAGACAGTTGCCAGACATACCATTCCATGCCAGAGGACAGCCAACATTTATTATTCACAACCTGACCATACACTTCCAACATATCATTCAGCGGAACCCATTGGCCTTCGGCCCGTTGAGCGTCAAAGCATCCAACTCTTCCCTCGTCCTCCTGTACAACTCCTGCGCCTCTCTCTCCCTCGTGCTGACAAAGCCCACCTCCTCACGTAGCGCCGCGAGCCGGTTCCGAATAGCGGCCTGCTCCGAGGCCTGGAGGACCTTGAAAGCCCCCAGAGCGTTGTTCGCCTTCTCCAACGCCTCGTGAGCCTCACTGATCTTCTTCCGCAGCATTTCAGCCCGATTTTTATAACCGCCGAGATGCAAGTTGAGCTTCTTCTCGAGCTTGTTGCCCTTCTCCGCCGAGGCGACGATTTGGTCAATGACCTCCTGCAGGTTAGGTTAGCCAGTAAGCCCCAGGAAGGAGCAAAGGGTTTAGTTGTACATACCTCAAGCGCAATTTGCATAGTGGATATCTGCTCTTCTTCTTCATCATCCTCGTAGCATCCTAACCCAAGCAAAAGGGAGTTGCTGTTGCTCTTTTCCCACACCGCTTGAACCTCTTCCGGCTTTGGTTTATCCTTGATTTCCATCAGAACCTGAAGCTTGGCCTCTTGCAACGCGGCGTCGTCAATTTTCTGGATCTCCAGTGCCCGGGCAGTTGGCTGAGCTCCCGGTAGAGGATACTTGGTGGCATCATGAGCTACGAGCAAGGCCGCTTCACGAGCGATGAGAACCTTGACAGGGTCCTCGGCCTGCGAGGCTTCCTTCAAGAGTGACTGATAATCGACTTGAACAGGCCGAGGCAGATCTCGCTGCATAACCTGAGTTCGTCTCTTGCGCTCCAACAGCTCTCGCGCCTCCCTGATCTCCCTTTCTCGACGATCACGCTCAGCAGCATCCTCCTCCAGCTGCTCAGCGGTCTTGGGTTCTTGCTGATCATCCGGCAGCTCGAGCTCCCACTCGGTCTCTTTGGGCTTGGGAAGAGACGCGAGGCCCTGCTTGAGCTGGTGCCGAATAGACATCTCGCGCATCTTAACATCTCGGGGTGTGCCGCCCACCATCGACATTTCGTCACCGGCATCATTGAGAGCAAAGGTATCACGGGGAGTGCGCAGCGGTGTTTGGCCGACACGGAGAGGCGTGGCGCCGGGACCAGCTCCAGCAGCCCGCAAGGGGGTGGCTAAGGGGTTAGGGGTTGACATGACCTGCTTCCGCGGCGCAACCGACTCGAAGCCGGTAGAGCCCACCCCCTGGTGTAGAGGCGTGTTCTCTCCACCGAGCAGCGAGGATTGCGTCTCTGTTAGTGCTCGGATGTTGCGGATCTCGTTTGCGATGTGGTCTTCCTGAGCGGGGGCCATCGGTGTTCGGATTGGCGCATTGGTGTTGAGTGTCGAGTAGTTGTTGATCAGGCCACGAGTTGCGTCGTTGTCGCTTTCGCGAGCCAGCATGTTTGCCCGTTCGCCAATCATGCCCATCTTCACAATTTCCTCCAACTCGCCTTCGCCGACCTGAGGTGCTGGCAGGACCAAAGCCCTCCGCTTGCTGCTCTGTTCTGCCTCGCGCATCTTTTGCAGTTGACCGGCCTTGAGGGCGGCTTGCACAGATGGGTCCTTGTCGCCCTTTCTCCTCTTGCCGTCTCTCTCATCCTCTTCACCCTTGCGCTTGTTCCCAACCTGCTGCTTCTTGGGGTCGAAATGGGCGCGCTGGTACTCGTTGCGAGACATCTCCTCGGTGGTGTCATAGAATCCAGGAACAGGCTTCTTTTCGAATGGAATATCGGCATTGTAGTCCATCTGGCCCTGCTTCTTTGTCGTAACCTTGATGTTGATACCGGCTGTCTTCAACTCGCGACGCTTCTGGAGAGCGGCCAGTCGGCGCGACTCCTCCTGCTGTCGCTCACGGGCCTTTCGCTTGGCCTTTTTACCCTGTGTGTTGGCCAGACGCGCGCGAGCCTCGCTCAACATTTCTTTCTCATCTTCATCGAGATCGATGGTGTCGGGACGGGCGGGTTTCGTCTCCGGATCGGGGTCGACCTCGCCAGGACGTAGTTTGCGAACATCGTCGGCGCTGGGCGCGTGAGCTTCGCCTCCATCAGGGCCCGCCAGCCCAAAAGCGGATGCCTCCCTCTGCTCGGCTTCGTCGAGAAGCCTTTGGTATCTTTCCAGGCACTGGTTTGCGGTTCTTCCAACGATGGGGGCAATGGTACGCCATTGGGTCGGCATCAGCTTGGCGAGGTGCAGCAGCTTCTCATCCTCCTCCTTGCTCCATTCGATCTTCTTGATGCTGGGATCCAGCCATTCGTTCCATCTTGCCTTGCACTGCTTGGGCGTCTTGCGGGCCAGCAGCGACGAGACGCGGGCCCACTGGTTCAGGCCGTACTTGCTGACCGACGCCTTGAGGATTTCATCCTCGATGTTGGTCCACACACCTCCCTTGACGACGGGCATCTTGTCGCTCGGCCGTTATGGTTACTCGTCGGGCGTTGTAGTGATGCGGGAGTCGTTTCGGTAGGTGGGGGGATACTCGGGGTTGGGGTTGTCTTGGAATTGAAAGTGTTGAAATGTTGTTTGTTGACGGGGAAGAAATCCAGAAATTCAAAGCGCTGGCGTCAAGGCGAACAATGGAATAATCACCCGCGACGCAACTGCCTTGGCGTCTTTCCAAGTATCGAGCGCTAGCCAAAGGCCTCTTTGCGGCAGGCAATAGCTTCCCGCGCTGTTAGTAATTTGTGTGTCCCATGCATGTGGCGACTAACAAGCAAACCAAGCTCCGGGACCCCTGCCTGCCGTTAGCCACTAACAGAAGGATGCCCCGCCCTTTGTCGCGACACGCTGCTGCTGTTGGTCGTCCATCATTTCTGGTTCACATGTCTTTCTTTCCTCTTACATTTCTCAATTCTTTACAGAAATCTCAAGACAAAGATCAATTCGCCCCGAAACTGGTCTCTATAACCCAATCTCGCTCTCCCAAAGTACGCGTCTTCTCCGAATACCAAAGCATCTACCCGTAGGATCACCATCGGGCAATTCTCAGATTATTCTTAGCATCCATAAGCTGTCGTCGATCAGAAGAGCTCCCGCCGGTACCTACTTTGGACTTGGAGTGCTCGCCGTTCGAGTTCAAACACAAGTCAACTTCAGGACAAGGACAGCTTGCGAGAGAAATACTAATCACTTAGTTAAACATCTGCCAACGTTACTGCTATCACGACGTCTGCCGAGCTACATATGGCCAGCGACGTAGGCTCTCCCCGAAGGGAGCAAACACCTTCCGGAACTGCCACGACGGTCCCTCAGAAGCGCGTGCTCGAAGACGACCACAGTCCAGCAGTTCCATCACCCCTAAACCCAGACAACAAGGCCGCTCCAAGAGTCCAAATACAGGCACCCGAAGACACCCAGCAAGCAGCTGTTCTAAACCGCGAAAAGAGAACAAAGAAGGACTCCTTCAAGAAGAGAGAGGCCAAGGCAGCAGCAGGCGGTTCCGATAGTTCTAGAGCAACCCCCGACCCGAAGCAGCAACACAAGGAGCCCTCGATCAACGAATTGCTCCCCGCGCGCTATAAGCTCGCTCCGCCCAAACTTACTGATTTCGAGCCCGCTCGTGGTCCCGTCTTCACCAGCCATCATGAGGTTCAAGGGCCTGAGGGCGAGACCATCGAGTTCTTTGATGCAACCGAACAGTATGTCTTATCTTTATCTGCTCCTTTGCCATTCTCCATTTATGAGGAGCATATTCTGATTTGCCTTCTTCCTACAGTGTCTTCAACAAGCGAGCGTTCCATTACACCCACTGTATAGCCGACCCAACGTTTCCTTCCATGTTCTACTATCGCCAGACCGAGACCGAGCCATACGCTGCCCACATGGCCTTCGAGGACTCTGCCTCTCACGTATACTTTGACCGACAAGGCCGCCATGTCACCACCGACAAGGGCTTCCGTATGTCACGAGCCAATGTAGCCGTGCGAGAGGGCAGATGGTATTGGGAGTGCAAGGTCACGCGAGGCACCCTGCGCGAGCCAGGTTCTGAAGGAGATACCAAGGCGCATGGGCATGTTCGCGTGGGTTGGGCGCGGCGCGAGGCCTCTCTCGACGCCCCCGTCGGGTTCGATTGCTACAGTTATGGTATTCGAGACGTGGCTGGACAAAAGGTGCACATGTCACGGCCGAAAGACTTCTTCCCGCCTGGCGAGGAGATCAAAGAAGGAGATGTGATCGGGCTGGAGATCCAGCTTCCTTCGGAACACCTACACAGGAAGATTGTAACGGGGCATTATAACCCTGCGGTCGACTTGGCAGACGACGAACCATCGCTGGAGGCACCCAACATTATCCGGGACCGGATCCCAATTCGGTTCAAGCAACACATTTACTTTGAGAAGATCGACTACCACACAACCAAAGAGCTGGAAGATCTGTTCAGTCCCGCGCCGGTAGCATCGGCAAGCTCAAACTCGCCGGAACCGCCGAACCCAAATCACCCATTGCCGTCGCTACGGACGCTGCCGAACTCGTACATCAAAATCTACAAAAATGGAAAGGACATGGGCACGCCTTGGACTGACCTCTTCGCCTTTCTGCCACCCGCATCCAAACAAAGTACTCAGTCAGGAGCACACGCCGGCAGGGAAGCTCTCGACGACGGAACCGTCGGATACTACCCAGCCGTAAGCGTCTTCCGCGGTGGCGCCGTCGAGGTGAACTTTGGCCCAGACTTCTGGTTCCCACCACCTGGGTCTGGTCTTCCCCAGAAGCAGCAGAACGGGATAGGCGATGAGGACGACGTGGACATGCTTGACGACGGTAGTGTGCCGAATCAAGAACCCCTGCGGCCGGTGTCGGGTCGCTACGAGGAGCAAATAGTCGAAGATATCGTCTACGACATTATCGATGAAGTTGGCTTCTGGGCCCAGGACGGCGGCAAGGTGATTGACCGTTTCAACCTCACGGCGAAGGACGCCGAGAAGTTGCTGGCGACGGGTGGGGGCGGGGCGCAATTGTTGCCTGGTGGGAGGGACGAAATCAAGGAGCTTGTCCAGGACGATTAGGTATCCCGGGACGGACTCATGTGGGACGGAGTCCGATGGCGGCGTTCACGTGCTGTCAAGTAGATGAGATCTACCTAGAGTCAGTCACTTATGGACATGGAGGCGAGAGGGGTCTGCAGTTCCGGTTGGATGCTTTCAGTTAGGTTGGGGACAGAAGCGCAACACGGTTCCGTTTCGTTATGTCGGGGTTTCTAGAAATTCTTTTTACTTTGCTTTCGTTTTTGCATATCTGATCACAATATTCAGCGAATGGTGAGGGCTACACATCAAGGGCCTGTATGCTACATATGGTTAGGTGTGCCTCGGATGGAGTTTTTGAGAGATACCCAAGTGGTAGAACCAGTAGGGAACTGGTAAATTACCAAATGTGTTGCAATATCTACTACTCGGGAAGGAGTGTCGGCCGGTCCTGTGACGGCCGATGGGCATATACGAGCATGGAGAACGGTGTTTGTGAGATTCCTGGACGGATCAAGAAACACACATAAGCAGTAAAATGACATGTTAGTTCGACTGGGTGTATCGTCGGATTCTCGCAACCGAAATCAAAAGGTTTCCCATTGATGATATATCATAATTCCATTCTCGACAGCGTAGCGGATTCAAAGAGGACGACGTCCCATTGCGGATACCTCGCTCGCCACGGGCCCAGCGGTCCTTCCCTCACTTCTTCAACCGCAAGGAAACCTCCGCCAGTGTGCTCCTCTCTCCTACAGAATGTAATGGTATACACACCACAGGGGCATCCTTCATCCCACAACACAAGCTGCTCATTGGCCCCCACGCTAGAACCGTCAAGTTGTCAACGCAAGTACTCTATAAAAGCAGGCCGATTATCTCCGCCTCCTTCACACCAGGAAAGGCAATTCAGCTCCCCCTTCGTTCCAGGACTTCAATGACCGGAAAAGAGGGACGAGGACTTCTACATACCTGGCCCGTTTGACTTTGGAAGCGTAGTATCATGGCAGCGTGAAACGTTCAAGGTACCGTAGAAACTCGGTCAGCTGGCAAACCTCCAACCTTTTCTGAGCGCCGATAGTAAGTACCTATACCTCTAGGAAGCAGCACACGTCTATACTATGTCCGCTCAGTTCCACAGTGAAAGCTCTACGACACTGTCCCCCATTATCTTCTATGGTTACGTATCAGAACGTAGGCTTGGACGTAAGTATTACAGATCTACCACGATCCTGTCTGATCTGATATCCAAATTCTTGAGGCATTACCTAGGCTCTTTTATTTTTAACCAGCCGAGTTCCCATGGTAATGGGGGTGCTTCCAGTTGGCATATTATTCTGGTCATCACGATGTTTACCAGTCCAGGGTTAAAGGGGCTGCTAAGATACGTCTGCCTCTTGTGTCCATAGTAGTAGATGCAAATGGCAGATTGTTTAGTCTACCTGTCCTGGAAAAGCAAGTTTCCGAGCTTATATGATACACTTGTTAAGTCCGAGATGCTTGTGAACATGCACGCAACGAGATTCTTCAGTAGAAGTATCAAAGTAAGGCAACGATGGTGGTACTTCTCGTGTTGGAACAGATTGGTGCTGGGGAAGAGAAAACTGATACACTCGAGGATGACAATATGTTCACAATTCAAAAGGCACTTGGGCAGACCAGCAACGCAAGAGTAGCAAAATGACATACAGAGTGTTATTGGGGGCAGCATTGGGGGGTTAACTGTTTCGGCTCTCTCTCTCCTCTCTTTCTGCCTAACCTTCATTATCGTGTATACAGCATGTCCATAATCCAGGAGGAATCTTCGCTCAGCGATTCAAATTTTTAACGTGTACTTGCCATGCTGTTCTCTCCTCACCAGAAAGCAGAACAACAAAGAAGAAATACCAAAGTTCGGCGAACGTTCTCCTTCCATCATAGCCGCTGGCCACGCGATCTCGATCTCAATAGCCTCGCGGCGAGTAGCTGGCAGGCTGTCCCTCCCCACACATGAGGTTTACTGTAACTCTCCAAGGCGGAGTACCAGCTTCAACTGTTTTATTTTTTTTTTCTTTGTTTGTTTGTTGGTCTATTCTGCTTTATAGCGCTTTCGGCTTGGTTGTCTTGCGCCCCTGTATATCGCAGTAGTTTCGACCTGACTGCCCATGTATGATGCTGTCCTGACTCAAGTCCGGGCTAGTCGCTTTATCAAGTAAATTTGACCGACAGTAGTGTTAGTGTACGGGGCCAAGGGTTGATCGGCGGAGATTGCGAGACGGAGGGGCGGGTGGCTGGCTGGGCCGAGCACGGTCAGGGGTAACATGATCGCCGGCCTTTTGGCGCTAAAAGGGTAAGGTGAGTGATGGCGCTGTATGTAGTCTAACAAAAATCGAAGCGTCTTCCGTCTTCCAAGAAGGCTTGTACATGTTCAAAACTTTCATGTGTTTCGCGAAGCTGGGGCGCTGTGCCCTTGGAGTGTCGTGATACTCCATCTCAGATACCCTGGGTATTTCGTAATACAAACCCAACTATTGTCGCCAGTTGACGAACGTTTGTCTGTGCTGAATTGACGTCGGGAGTTTTGTGAAAAAAAAAAAGACTAGTGTTATGGGAACACCGCTGGACCACTGCTGAGTCAACCATGCAATAGGACATTTTTTCAAGCCTCCGCCATGTCCTCATCGTCATCATCAGCAGCCTCTTGCTGAGCGGCAACTGCCTCTTCCAAATCGCTCCGTCTGCCACTGCCATTGCCATTAGCCCGGCCGCCTCTGCCCCTCTGGTAAGCCTGGCGTGAGGTAATAGCCCGCTCGCCGACAAAGTGGTTTCCGGTCCACTCGGTCTCGCACTTGGGGCACTTCTTCTCCCCCCTCCTCGTGCGCCAGTAGCGGTCCTCGCAAATGTCGTGCAGCCGAACGGTGCAGTCCCTCTCCGAACAGCGCTGGCCGTACGTGACGATCTCCTTACACGACTCACAGAACTTGATGCGCTGCCAGTCCCTAGCCGAGTCCGAATCGTCGTTGTAAGTGGCAACCAGCCAGCTCCACATCTCAATCAGCGCGCGCGGGCTGAGGCTGTAAAACCCGGCACGGCTCTTCTCCAGCCAGCCTTCGGCCACGAGGCTGGAGAGGAGGGACAGAACCTCGGAATGCTTGAGACCACGGTCGGATGCGGTGGTGGATGGCTGGCCTTCCTCGTCTTCGCCGTTCACATGCTGACTCTCTCGCCGCTTGCTGGGACGAGAGGCTTTGAGGGCTTGTCCCTCGTCGACGGCCATCACCTCCATTCGTACGGTGTTGTACTCGTCGAACAGGAGGTCCATCAAACGCTTAATGTAGGCTACCTCCTCGGGAGAGCGGGTGGTGGCCATCTGGGTGGCAGGGTCGCTGTGGGCGTTGATGAAGGCCCAGATGCGCTCTCCATTTCGAAGCTGGTCCCGAGAGCTGCGGATGTCGTAGTCAAGAGGCTCCACAGCCTCGCGGGCGGTGCGAACAAAGCCGGCGAATGTGTCCTGGGTGATGGACTGCGGGTCCACGGTCTCGCCCTCGGTAGCTGAGAGAATCGCGGCAACGAGCTTCTGTCCTTCGGGAAAGGTCAGGGTGCCTCGTGCCATGAAGGCTTGGATGAAGGCACGGTTGGCGTCGTTATACCCGGCCGGCACTGGTGGCTCCCATTCTTCCTCCATGGTGCTGGATGGATGGATGGATGGATGGATATGGTGATGGAGTGAAGTGTGCACGGATATCAAGAAATAAACCTTGAACCCGAATCAATTCGAACTGCCGCTGACTGAGACCAACCGCCAACGCGTGGTGTCCCGATCGCGTCCAGAAAGATGGTGGGTAGTGTACACTAGAGGTACTTTGGCCCTGTTTGTGCTGCCCACTCACAGAAGTTTCCATGGAGACGCGGCGGCAGCTGAAGTGGGGTTAGCACCCAGCAGGTCTCCACTGCAGTTACATAGTAGGGCCGAAGCTCACGCCATCAGGGGGCCTTGACCCGTAACATTCAGTGTTTGGGTGGAGATGACGAGCTGGGGGGAGTGGGTGCCCTATGCTGTGGGGCGATGCACGCTCTAGGCCGGGGCACTCCCGGTTAGGTACATCCACAATTGCATGCTTCCATCTCCGTCCAGCCGGTTTCCTAAATGGACCCGCCTGTCATCTGTCATCGGTCATGACACTCGGATCATACATGCCGAATTTGGAAGAAAGGCAGCCGCCAACAGGTGGGTTCCCTTCACTTTGACATCTGCTTCCTTTTTCCCCTTCCCTCCAGTCAAATTGTAATCCCTAAAACAGGGGCACCGAATATTCTACGCTTTGACCTCGGGTTCATCTCTTGCCGGACTACACTATTTATCCACGTGGAATCCCGGCCACGCTATTGAAAAAAAAAAAAAAAAAAATCAATGTTAGTGTACACTAGTGTAGGTGACCCAACTGCAGATCCTGTTGCCGAGTGCCATTAGAGTACCAATCGCCGACCATAGTCTACACTACACACTACACTAGTATAGTGTCGTTTTCAATACGAAGGAAGCCGTCCTTCTTCCTCTTGCTAGAATGGATAGTCAGGCTAGGTAAAACTTACCTCTGTTTGGTCAATGGGTCATGAAATTGGTTGTACACTAAATCAAGCCAAGTCGCCCAGCCCTCGACGACCCATGGCCTCGAGAGTTGGTCACCCGGTTCCTGCAGAATGGGATCTTCCTCTTGGTATGTACTCGAGTTTTTCCATTGTCGAGCCGCTGCTACTCCTCCCACTCCGGCCAAGTGCTCGACTATCTCCGGAGTGCGGGTCAAGTCAAGGATGGACCCCGTTTCACCTTAGGGCGTCGGCGTCTCGGGGAGGAACAGAGGGGGAGGGTCGGCTATGTGGATGCTTTAATATATGTTGGTAGCAGCAAGGCAACATGCTCCTACCATGTTCCATCGGGTCTCATTCGCCCTCTTCCGATCCATCTTCTCCAGGGATGGAATGCCACTATATGCAGGTGCTTGCTCGCATTCGTTTCGCCCAAGCGAGATCCGCATGTCAAACTAGGTAGCACCCTTACCACCATTCAGCCTCCGGCTCTGCCGACAGAATGCGGACTTTCTGACCGACATCAACTTACCAGGCCAAGCGAGCGCTCGGACAGCCATCAGGATGCACTATCCCCAGCTTTTTTCCACACCTCGAGCCTGGACCCTCGGTCACCATCCCGCTTTCTGTCGTGAGTCTGTGTCAAGAGGGTCAGAGTAGCATCAGACTAGCATCCAAGGGGCGAACTGTTGGGACTCCCGTCCTCTGTCTCGCCCCACGAGGCATATCTGTCTTATACCCCCCGTGTCGCACATCATGCTTCCCTAGTAGCTACATAGTTCAGATCTTATTGTAGAATGTACACTGCAACTCTACCCCAGTGAGTGCCATGAGATGGCCGCCCAGCTCCCATCCGAGGCCATTGGCTCCGCCGTTGGTATTCTCATCTACAGTTTGTTTTGTCTGTTTCTGAGCCTGCTTCTGCTATGGCTGGTCTGGGTTCATCATGAGCGAAGAAGCTGTAAGTCGTGATTCCTATGCCCTTCTCATCATACGTACTGTATCATACTAACCCAGCCAAGATGTGGCTATGCTATCATTCTCCATGTCCTTGGGCACACTGGCATCCATCATCCAACAAATCCACACAATAGCCTACTGGAACGACGTCAAGACATCGCAGTACGAAAACGTGGTAGCCAATGCTGGAAGGCCCGAGTTAAACGTCACCGGCGCTTCTACCGGCTTCGACCTCGTCCTCTTTTACATACGTATGTCTACTTCCTTGGAAAATTTTCAAGGTGGTGGTGGTGTTTCTGATTGACAGCAACAGAGTACTATTCCTACAATGTGGATGCCATGCTGGTGGTTTTCTGGTCAGTCGTCCGATATGAGTCGAGGAGACGACTCACGCAGCTGACCAGAACAGGTCCGTCGAATTGGCAAACTCGATCCTCCAGCTTCGAAATTCCAGGCTCAACCGCCTCAGGGGAAGTTTGTGGGCAAAGGCGAGCGCCATTATCCTGCCTATCATCCAGGTGTGCCTGCTCAGAACCAATGTTGTTCAAGGCAGTGTCTTTGGCTTCATGGTCTTGGCCGACTTTATCAGTATGCGGCTCCCTGATTCTTATTCTGAAATCATAACGTCCAAAACTAACATCCATATAGTGATCATAAGCTTTGGTATCGGTAGCCTGCTTCTGTTCGCTATTCTTATCAAGTACATCCACTCCAGGGCCGCCCTGGTGTCCTGGAAAGTTCGCTATGGCCAAAATTCGTCAAAGACTACCAACCCATACTCGGGTAGTGGGAACGTGCCGTCGGGTCACAGGCCTGCTCTACCGCGCAGAAACATCTACGATAGCTGGCTTGCTGTGCGCTTCACTGTCGCCTTTGTGGCATTAGGGTATGTTTTTTTTTTTTTTTTTTTTTTTTTTTTTTTTTTTTTTTTTTTTTTTTTTTTTTATATCTTTTCCAAAATACCTATTTGTCTCACACTAGTACCTATCTTGTCCCAACCAACCAATCTAACCAACGACACCAACATCTATCTAGACTCTTCGAACTAGTCGTCATCTTCTTCCAACTCCGCGCCGCCAACACCAACACCAAAGACAACATCCCCCCCAAACCCGACCTCAGCGCCGCCCGCGCCCGAGGCGACTTTGCCCTCTTCTGCCCCGGCGTCTCCGCCAGTCTTCTCATCTTCATCGTCTTCGGCACCACCCGGACCTTCCGCGAGTACGTCTGGACCCGATTTGCGCCCCAACTGCTCCAGGACCGAGTCGCGGCAAGGAAGGCCCTCAAGAAGCAAAAAACCCCACCAAACGAAGGAGGACAAGGAGGCGAAAATGGAACCATGGCGCCACCCGTCATCTTGTCCACCTTCCAAATCGGTGTCAGGAGAAACAGCAGTCACAACTCTGCAAACCCTGCTGCTGGCGCCACCCACGACGACAACGACTATAAAGGGGTGCAGACACTGACGACCATTAACGGACACAAGTATCGGAATGGACCGTATACACCCTATATACGCAGCGCGACGCCGAGTCCCTGTCCCTCGCCTAGTCCCGGGCCTGGTAGTGAGGTGGATCTGGAGATGGGGAATGGGAATGGCGGGCAATACGCAGGTCGCGGGAGCTACGAGGGAAGCGGCGGCGGCGGCGGGAAACAACTACAACAACAACACTTGCAGACGGCAAGGACGACGACAGCCTTTGGGGTGGTGGTTAGGAGTACAAGCCGGACGGATGATGATGACGTTCCGATTTTGAAGAAGGCGATGCCTGCTTTTCAGAGAGGCCATCGATAGGATTTTTTTTTTTCGATATTTTTTTTTTTCTGGTCTTATAGGAAGATACCCCAAACAAGAACAACTTTGTTTCAGTCAAGGTTTTTCAGGCTTAGATATCATGTCATGCATTTTGGTCTTTCTTTTGGAACCGGTACATATGAGTGTGTCAGTAACGATGCTACATTCACATGCCGCAATACACTGCATATCCGTATACTCTCCTCGTCGCTCACGCTGTCGTAACCCGTTCTTCTCTCTCCTTTCTCTCGCATTTTATACTGTATCCAACCCCAAATCCTCTCTTCACATAACGAAAACGGGGACAAAAGTGAGGGGAAATCTGAATCATAGTGTTCTTTTTCCGCGTGGTCGAGCTGATGATTATTTTATGGTTGCGTTGGAGCGCACTGTGGCATTTGAATACTCCATAGGTATTTTGGCAACCCCTAGCACGAGTGAGTGTACGCGAGGGTATAAAAATCCTGTTACTCCGAAGCATCGCCCAGGAAAATGTAATATAACCGTCCTTCAAAGAGTGACCCCCGAACAAATCCCTATCGTGCCATCGTTAAAGCCCAAATTGGTTACAAAAATACGTACAAACACCAAAACTATGGACAAGAAACAGACCATATATTATTCAAGGTGACCACCAAACACCGGACCAACACATGTTTAGGATATCGTTAGCTAACCGCTTCATGAAGATTGAAAAAAAAAAAAAAAAAAAAAAAAAAAAAAACCATTTAAGACACCGTAATCGATGAATGACAAAAAACGTACAGCCTTGTTCCATAGTAGTAGATCAAAACCAAGAAAGAGAGAGAGAGAGAGAGGAAAACAAAAGGGAATATCCCCCACTGCAACATTCGGACCTCAGCCATCTTCTTTGCTTCGTCACATAAGTCCACTCCAACCCGTTCCCTGCTGTCCACTCACCCCAACAATCGGTTGTGGCACATAACCATGTGCAGCAGAGGCGCCCATAACAACGGGCATCGACCCCCAGAACCCGTTGCCCGTCTCATCAAAACAAAAGTCATCGGTCCCGTGCGCAAAGTGGTCGACACCGCCTGGTAACTGATTCCACGGTATGCTCTGGTTTTCCTGGATATACTGCATTACCTCATTTGAGGAGTTGTACACGGGTATGCTGGGCAATGTCGAGATCGAGGCTGCCGCACCGGAGCCTGAGACAGCCGCTGGTGGTGGTGGCGGTGGGCCTAATGCTTGTTTGACAGTCGCCAGATGCGGACTCAGGGCCGCGAACGATGATTGAGATGGGGACTGGTGTTGGCTGCTGGAGCTGAGCATGCCGCCGGTGACTGGGCGTTGATATGGTGGGTGATGCCAGGACATGTTTTCGCCGTCTGGCGTTCGAGTGGTGTCTGCTGGTGAATCTAACGATGGGTGCTGGTGGTGATGCGTTGTTGTGTTGATTGGGGTGAACGAGAGCGAAGCCGACCTTGGGGTCTTGGTGTGGTGGTCCGTATGATGGCCGTCATGTCTGCTGGAGGCTGGTTCGAGCGTGCTATCCCGAGAAATGCTGTGCCGGTCGTCGTCAACCGCCAGGATTTCGCCATTGTTGACCACCTTCAGTCCTTGGTATTTCCACTCCTCCAGGCCGCCACCAAGAAGACGAACGTTAATTTTAGCTTCACCGCCTGGCCCGTCCGCCGCTTTGGCCGCAGCTTCGTAGTCCTTCTTTACCGTGTCGTAGTAGCGTACCATATCATGAAAATATTGCACATATGTGTCTGCCATCTTGAGCCATTTACCCATTTGCTGTAGTGTTTTGTACGTCAGGCCGGTAGGTCCCTTTTTGATCTCTTCCAACTCGATCCCTGAATCTTCGTCTGGTGGCAGAAGCATGTGGCGGTCGACATCGATATGAGGAAAGTAAACAGCATATATGCCGACAAAGGCAGCCGTCCAAACGGCAAACAAAACGAGCGTCGACATGGGAAGTTTCTGTTGGGAAATATCGATGAGATCAACAATATCCTTAGCTGCTCTGAAAATCTCTTCAGCGCTTTCGTTCCAGAATCCGGTCGGTTCATCGCCTTCAGCAAAAGTGGGCTCATCAAGGGGGCCAACTGGCTTCTTGCATCGAATTGCAATGAACGGTATGTACTCGCGATGAAGCATAATCTTACATACCGCGCCCAGCATGTGCAAGGAGACGTAGACACTGCTGGCGTGGTGGTTCTCGTGCTTGTAATAGTTGCTCCTCGACCAGCAAAACCGCTCCGGTAGTTCGCTATAAAACGTCTCAAGCTTCATGCGGAGCTGGTAGAATGTTGTCTCACGCTTCCAAGGAGCATGCTGTTCTGTAAAGCGACCACCGGCAAAGCTCCATTTTGATATTTCGCCCCAGATATCAACGAGTCGGATGAAGCGACTTAGGACGCTGTCGGCACTGTCGGATATAGGGCCTCTTGCCATCTCCTGGGCTGTAGGGTTGAGGAAGCCAGTATAGACATCTTCGGATAGGTCAAAGGACATTTCAGAACAGGGAAGCTGAATTCGCAAGTCCTCAGAACGTATTGTCGATGCACGCCCCTTGCCACAGCCCAGCAAGCGATCCAATATCAAGCAACTAAACATGGTGCGTCGCCTGATTTCTTTGGCGATGATCAGTTGCGATTTTGACATGGACAATCTCAAGGCGTCTAGAGGTCTGGACTTGAATGTTTTGCTGTCCTCTTTATCGCCATCACCCAAGCCTAGAGCTTGAGCCATACGAATGGCCATTCCGACATACATCCATGCCGCCATGCCGCCCACCTTGGGTCGCGCCTGTCCCCACTCGTACAGGCCTAGCATCAGGAAGGCCTGGACCCTTTCGACTGATGCCATGGTCATGCTGGCTCGAAGTCCACCCAAAGCCTTTGTGAGGACATTGGCATAGAACTCGGAGGCGGTCGTCGCGTCACTACTGATGCCCAGTTGGCGCGACTTTGGACCGCTCGAAACAGTAGAAGCTGTCCTGAGTGTTGTAACATAAGACACCAACGTGGGGTTGAAGCGTACTGTCAGTGTTAGGACCCCTAGGAGCACGAGATTGATTTCGGGAGATGTGTCACTCTGCTTGGCTCTGAACCTGTTTCCCATTTTCTCCTTGAGAGTTGCCAAGTGAAGGAACGGCAACTCAGTGGCGAAGTGAAGTTTGTACAGGTCAAAGATTTCTGACCAAACACTCTCGGTAAGATAAGGCGCCGTGAGAACCTCCTCGGCGAAAGCGGCAGGCGGAACAGCGCTCTCCAACTTGGCGATATCATCGAGTCTCCTCGGCCGCTTCCGCTCGGAACCCTGCTCCGACTTGACACCGGTGGGTGGCTCAGCCCGCTTTGGGGGAGCAGGCGCCACGTCAGGGTAGATACATTGTTTGCCATTTCGGATACAGGTATCGCAGGGCGCATCACCGCCTGTGTTGTTGCACTTGATTTTGGATTTCCGGCAACGTTGACAGGCAATACTTGAGCGCAAAGGGGTACGCTTGGCTCCCCTTTTCAGATCAGGTATGCCAGGGCTTGCAGGGCTCTCAGGGGTAGGCCTCATAGTCGCGGAGGCCATCAAGACCTTGTTGGCATTCTCGGGTGTTTGGCCGTGCCTGCGAAGCCCGCCGCCCCCGGTAGCGAGCGGTGAGCTATGAGGCAGCGGCTGGCGACTGTTGGGAAACCGGTCGTTGGTATAAATCCTGGGTGCTATAACCGACCCGGCGGGAAGTACAGAGGGCGGTCCGCCAGAGCCCGGCGCGGCGAACGCGTCGTTAAACTTTCGGTTTGGAGTAGAACCGGTTGGCGTACTATTGGTAGCCGAAGTCTCATCGGCGTCCGGCGGATCGGCGGGGGAGAGAATAGACTGGATACGTAGTTGGGACGCTATCGTGCCGGCGGTTGGGTCTCTCAAGGGGACCCTCTAAAGTGGATGTAGGGAATGCTGCCCACAGAAGTATCCGTGAAGGAAAAGCAGTCCGCGGAGAAGAAGCCGGGCAACCTAGCTCGGCAAGCAAGCAAGCTGTCCTCGAAGCCGACTCCACAACGCAGACGCCGGTCGAAGCAGCCGCGGGAGGTAGCGACGTGATGCAGGAACAGATGTGAGACGGTCGATATCTTGCTTGCGATGAGAGCAATTGAATGTCAATGGTCGTATTGCTCAGCAGAAGGCGTGTGGGCATGACACGACACGACACAACCAGGCAGTACACAACGGGCACGGCAGGATAGTGTTGGCGCTCGCGTCCGGAACGGCAGAAGAGGAAGGCTGGGTAGTAACGGTTCGGATAAGCAGCAGGCAAGTTAGCAAGGCGTCAGTGGTTGTAAACTTGCGTCGGCGATGTTGGCTGGCCAGGGAAAAAGGCTGTCCTCGTAGGCTGGTGGTGCTGGGCTAGGCCAGCTCAAAGGCTCAGACGGAGCACGGGAGCAACAACGGGAACAGAAGCAGGTGGGCGTTTGCACAATGTATGACAGCATTCAGCGTAAATGCAACCAGCCGTCAACCTCCTGAGCGATGCCGCGTAAATGATTGTAAACAGCAAAGGGCTAGGTGATGTGTTGGAGAATATGCCGAGAGTGGAAGCGAGGCGACATACGGACTGGAACAAGTTGACCAAGAGGACTGTATTATGCAAGGCCAATCTACTAGCGCGATGATGCCAGGCAGGTATTGCAATAAAGTCAAGCACAAGGTCGGAGCCTCGAGGTTGAAGGCGGGGGGACCGATGAAGCGTTAGAACGTGTATCGTGTACTGTGCACCGTGTAGTACTCCGTACAGTTGAGGGCGGATGTCAAAGAAGAAAAAAGGAAAAAAAAAAACAAAAAAACGAATGGTTCGCGGCAATGCTAAAAGTGTCAGCCGGGGGCCGGCGGTGCTGATGGTGGTGATTGTCACGATGGTTGTGGAAGGTGGAGCGCAACGAGTGGAGGCGACAACGGCGAGGGGGAGGATCAAGGTGGTATTGAAAGTGGTGATGCCGGGTGATGGTGCCGTGGTGGTGCTGAATGATGTGCAGCCAATTGACGAGAGGTAGCTAATCCACGGGCAGAGATGTTTGACAGCGTTGATCTGTCGCGAATACCAACTTGAAGCTATTGGATCCAGCGAGGTTTGCGACTGGGGGAACTGGAGCTTGGTACTGTATTGTGGCCTGTGTATGTAATTTACGTACGTACTGTGAAGTTAACAGCTCCACCATCATATGTTCTTGGAGGAGGCCCAAGTACATATCTCTAGGGGTGTTGCCCCGTCGAGGACTGAGGTAAGGGACGAGCTTTGAGTGACCGTTCAGGAGACCAGGGAGGTAGGTACTAGTTGACGACCTGACATATAAAATTGAATATACATGGGCACTAAATTCAACGTTGCGCAATGGAAAAGTGTTGTTGGCTGAAAACCTGCCGTGACAGGTGAGATACGCCGAGTACCGTGCGCGTACGTGGGGAGATGTATAGCAAGCTCCAGTCACTGGTCTTGGATGCGCCTCGATATTGACTGGCGAGGTAGTCATTAGCTCGACGGTGAGCTATCGACTGTATGCCAGTCTGGACGTGAAAGACGATATCAAAGCTGAACTGAAGTTCAGATGGAAGCTGAAGAACGGACCGAACCGGGCGGCATTGACGATGACGGATAAGCCCGTTTCAACAGACCTGACCGTGACAGCTTGGTCGGGGCAGCTGACGGACGGAGGGACGGAGCTGCGTTGATCAGGCACATCGATGCGAGCCCTGCGCCTGGGGTCCCTGTCCAGATGGACCCTTCGAGGTCGGGCCCTCTCCGCCTCCGGGCCCCGGATCGCATAAGGCCAATGTAGGTCTCCACTAGCACGCTACACATCTCCACTTGATAACAGTTGGACCCACCATTGCTGCTGCTGCTTCCCGCGCTTCCTCCCGTCTTTCCACTTCTCACCTGGCATCATTCTCAACGCAGTTTTTCAGTCTTGCCAGTTTTCCTTCAATTTTTTGCTTCACGTCTCCTTTAGTCCTCATTTTCCCTCTTTTGGACTACACGTACACACCATGATAGGCTCTTGAAGGAAACGGTTGTTCATTCCTGCTGGGTAGCATTCGCAATGTTTGCACGTCCAAATGCCTTGCTTGTTTCTTGTGGGAACATTGAAAAGAACTTGAAGGCTCAATGTCCAGCCAGAACGGATACCATGTGCGAGCGAGGTTTTCAACTACACTGCTCATATCTCACTTTCACATTCCCCTCCTGGCCGCTCTTAGGTCCGCCGCGCTCACAGTTGTAACCACCATGCAGTGTGACAGCTAGTATATAGAGCTATGTCAATCAAACCGTCAAATAGGATCCCGTCCGGCCATCAATCGAGTAACCGCCCGTGCAAATCATCAACAATTATTGAACTGCGCATACACTTCCGGTATCTGTCAAAAGTCGCCAAAAATGATACCCCTCAAGATGAGACTACCGCGTACACAGTATCTGATCCCCGACATATATCCCATAGCCATTCCCAACATCACCGGCCACCAGTGATCTCTTCCTTAGAGGAAAGCTCTGTATGATCTTATCCGCCTCATGACAGGATGATGGCGCGCAGCATTCGATGGCCAATTACTTGACTGAGTTTGTTTGGAGGGTAGCAGGCTACCGTGACCAATTTTCAAATCTCCCATTCCAACACCCTTACACAGATCATCATGGTCCTCGAGTTGCCGGATCACGAACCGTAACAAATGGGATCCTTCAGCGAGTGGCCCCTCCGGGACTCGACAGCAGCATCCTTTTCGAGCCGTTGAGCGGTAGACAATCAGGCTACCCTGTACGACTGTTTGGCAGCGGCCGGGACGGGGCTTGGTGCAGCCACTCGGTCGTAGTGGCACTTTCGTTACCCTTCGGCGGTTGGCTTCCGAGACACCTAAGGTCAATGCGCTGCCGTGTCGTGTGACATGGCACCCAGCACTGTAATCTCCTCCAAGCAATTTGTTCTAGAACACAGACTAGCAGATGAAGACGTGTTGAATCAGCAAAATCAGCTACGATATGGATGGTTGAATCGAATGTATAGTCCAGTACGTATCCACGGTAGCAAGTGCTCTTCTACATCATGAATGAAAAGTGATGTGCTATTGAGTGGTTAAAAAGGATGTGGTAGCCAGGCGGCTTGTAAGTCACCATAGAAAACCCTAACCCTGTGTCAATCTCTAGTGTACATACACCTTCACGAGAAGACAGCCAGGGCCTCAGACAGAGATGTTGTTTTGGAAATGTCCGGCAACCTGTGAGCCGACGTTCGAGACTGGTGATCCCCGTCCCAACGGCGGCGGCATGATGCTTGGCAACCCCATCTGCTGACCCAAATGGCGATAAGCTTTCTCACGCCAAGGAACTCCAGACATTACTTGCCTCCAAATTGCCTTTGAATCTTGAGATCACCACGCACAGCATCAATGAGCAACTGCTGAGCCACATAGAGGGTTCTTTCTCTTTCCTCGTCGTGGCAAACGGGTAGCATGAAGGCATGAAAAAGCAGACGCAAAATGATGTTACTTACACTAGTGGGTGGGGTCCAATGACGTCGACCGCAGGTGCTTCCCGCCCGAGAGGCCTCTTTGTTGCATGATCCACACAGGAGAGAGCTCTAAGCGCCTGGAGGCAACCAAGCCCTAGCTCTTTTACCCAGGAACCGCGGGACGATGGTGGGAAAGAAGTTCCGGGTGTTGCTATTTTGAAACTCGAATCGCCATGGTCAAAAAGTTGACCCCGCTTGCAATGGAAGTTTTATATCTGAGCTCCAACGTTTTCTTCACTTTTTCTCTCTTTTGAATCCTCAAAACCTCCATCGCTTGTAATCCTAATCTATCCCACACTTACCTTGAACAAATTCGGTTCATCACAACTTTTGCGCCCGCCAATCGCACGACTTATTTCCAAGAGGGTGTGCTATAGCACTTACAGCAAGATACCCCGCAGCTGCGCCAACCACCTGGGCAGGGAAGCAGCGCATTGCCCGCCGACTGCGTGCTGAGCGTGATCAAGGAACCCTCAGTCGAAAGACGATTACGTCGTTCCCGAGCCCAAGACATCATTCAACACTTGACCAAGCCCGTCCCGTGTAACCGTTTCCAAGCTCGACGCAATATAAAGCAATCAGATTGCCACACCATCTACAGTTTCACTCGGGAATGGCATCGAGTCACAACGTAAGCTCATCGTTCAGCAATCTTCCAAGCGGTGCCAGACCTGCAACATAGCAAAACAAACTACCAAAACGGCGCAGTTCATCGTTGGTCCTTTGAGCCGGAACTAACATGACAACCACCCGACAGGACCCCAAGCTGCTCTACGCCATCAACGGCGTATCAGCCTATCACATTGCCAATGGCAAGGAGGACTCGTTAACGCCCGCCGGGCCACAGACCCTCTCCTTGCTAATGGTGCCAACCAGCTCTGCCTTTGCGGACCCGGCACTGGGCACTGAAAACGCAGAACAGGACTTTTACTTGCATCTTCACCTGCCGCCCGAGCTCGATCTTCCCCTTCCAGCGACAACGCAGATCTACCACCAACCTCCCACGAGCTACCTGATTCCTAGATGGGATCTCGGACCCGATAGTGGTGCTTTTACAAGAATCGAGTTCCCCTCGGTCGAAAGTAGGAAGGGTATACAGGAGGACGTGGATACCTTTGAGACCATTCTTGCGCAATGCACTGCGTTCCTGGAACGGGCACCGCCTCCAAGACTAAATCAAAGGAGCAACAAGAGTAGTGACGAGAAGGGTGGTACAGGTACATCAACAGGATCCAAGAGCGGAGTGGCGGAGGACTTGCCGGCATACAACCCTGGTGACTATGGGCCCGGTGAGGCATATGCCCAGGGAAGCCGAAGCAACCCCACGCCAGGGCAAATCGTGCTTGTGGATGAGGACGACGGTAGCGTCATTGGCGAGTTGGCTGAGGGATACCAAGTCCATGAAGATAGCGCGTTGAAGCCGGGATCGAAAGGTTAGTACTGCCGCTCCTCATCCCCTGTCTCATCTTGTCCAAATTTCTTTGGCTAAGATTATATGTCAACAGACCCGGTTGAGATTACGCTCCCGACTACGCCCAACGGAAAGATCAACGTTGCTCCCGCCTCGCCCGAATTGTTCGACGCCGAACTTCACCCCGCATACAAGAAATCATTCCTTGTTTCGAACGCCTCGGCCGCCTCGCGCTTCATTATTACCGGCTCCGACATGCTTGCCAAGCTTCTGCAGAACCAAGCCGATAACTACACGAAAAGGGCGCAACCGGCCGCTGAGCCCATGAAATTCAAGCCAGCCACCCGCGAGCACATTCGCCGTATCAGCCACTTTACCGGAAACGCAGCTGTCTTGTCTGCCAAAACCGTAGGACAGATTGGCAAGTTTGCACAGAACTTTGGCGCCACCCTTGGCGGTCGCGGGCCTAGAAGGACGGGAACCAAGGGTTTTGGACCAGATGGACAACCCTTGGATAACTACAAGCCGGGACTGCTGAACAAGAGCTTCATGGCCTTCTCGACGGTCATGGATGGCGTGGAGCAGGCAGGTCGGCACTTGCTTGCGTCAACGTCGGAGGCTGCGACCACGGTAGTTGCGCACAAGTGGGGTCCCGAAGCGGGCGAGATATCTAGGAGTCTTGGTGGCGGAGTGAAAAACGTCGGTCTGGTGTATATTGATGTCACGGGTGTTTCGAGGCGCGCGATTCTCAAGAGTGTCGCAAAGGGCATGGTGGTGGGTCGCACGGCAGACGGAGGAGTAGTGACGGTTGGAGGCGGTGACGGAGGAGTACTGAGTCCGGGCGAAGGAGGAATGAACAGCGATCCGATGAACAGGGCAGGAAGGACCTCGCCGGGAAGCATTAGGGGTGGGAAGCAACCGGCTGGTATGAAGGGGAGGTCTGAGACATGGGGTTGATTTCTGCTGGTGAAGCAGGCACAACTGCACTGCTGATGATGTTCGATTAGTTATGTTTCTCCTTCAAATACCCACTATACCTGTTTGCATTTCACGGATGTTGCAATGAATGACTGCAAAGACCAAATTGCGTGTTGATGGTGTACGTCTGATGCGGTGTCAAGTCTGTACACTAGATTAGGGAGGGAATTTGCTGTTTGATAACTTCTTATCTGCCACTCTTTTTTCTTATCTGGCCCTCAAGGTTCCCATGATGTCATGTGACCACGACATCCCCTGTCGTGGTTTCTCAACGCGTCCGAACGGATCGCGATCGCCTGCAATTCGGCCTAAATCACTTTCAGTTCAATCCGATTGAGGCTTCCGTCTACTTACCTTAACAGCAGCTTCACTGGGAAGCAACTTCAGGTTCAGTTACAGACAAACAGGCACGAACGACCAATCCATCTGTCTGTTCTTGGGTACATAAGTGCCCTTAACCCACGACCTAATCAGAGCCTAAGAAGAAGACAACTTAAAATGCTACCACAAAGCTTCTACTACTGAGCATTCACCATCGTTTATGTCTTCATAACTTCAAGTTTCCCGTTTTTGGAACTCCTTTTCACTGTCGCTTGACTACATACACCATACTGTCTTCACTTCCCTTACATCACCTTTCTTTGGGTTTTAGTGTCAACACAACGCTGTCGTCCCTACCTACCTACCTACGGCGGGATGATCAACACCCCGCTGCAGCACCTACATTTAGCAGTCTATGGTAGACGGTCGATTCTAGCTGCCCGCCACACACACACACCTCATGTGCTGCAGGTTCGAGATTTTCGGGACCCTCATACTTCTCTATCAGGCCTTTGTTAGACGGCAATCACAGTCGCAGGACGACGAATCTCCGCACCCGTTAGAGAAACCGTAAGTTGTACTGACCTCTAGCAGCACCAAAATGTTCGCTCGCTGTGGTCTTTCATATACTAACAGCTGTCGCCCTTCCGCTTTAGTCGTCTACCGTCCC